TGCTGCAGTTCTCTTTTCTTTTTTGAGACGTCATTTGCAATCTCCTTATCTATTTCTATTTGCATTCTTGATGAATGACCTTTTTTGCTGTCAACGGATGATTTCACGACGGTGATTTTGGTATTGTTGATTCTTGCTCGTTATTTCGTCTAGGCGTATTCAGGAAAAAATTGTTTGGCCTTGTGGGGTCTTCTATTATTTAATTCCTTTTTTGGGCGCGTCTCGCGTTTTTTTTTCCAATGCATCCCATTCGATAGCATGCGCACGTGCGGGGTCTTGTATCTTCCCTCTTGTATTTTACGCGTTTCCAGGGCAAGACTATCCGCTTCCTTGCCTCTTGCGTCCGTTTTCCATGATGCTGTTTAAGATTGGTGCTGCTTTGCTTGGCGCAGCTTTTGTGAATGCTGCGCTGTACTCGAACACGTCGCAGCACAACCACACCTGCGTGTTACAGACGCCAGTGACTTCTTGCTCCGTTAAGTCTCTTGATCTTGCTAATGTCGATTCTTGCTGCTCCGAGACATTTGGTGGCCTAGTTCTTTCAACCCAGTTTTGGGACACCCACACCGGTGAAGAGGAGAATGGACAATTGCTTCCTCAGAAGCATTGGACTCTCCACGGTTTGTGGCCTGATTTCTGCAATGGCTCATTCACTCAATACTGCGACTTGAACCGTCAGTACGATCCTTCTCCTTCGCCTAACACGACCAATGGCGAGCCGGACGGCACGCCTGTTCCTGCTTGGAAAGGCCCAGGTGTTGATACGTTCATCGAGGATTGGGGCCGTAAAGACCTTCTTGACTTTATGAACACGTTCTGGGTTTCCCAGGGGTCTCCCAACAAGGATTTCTGGGCCCATGAGTTCAGCAAGCACGGAACTTGCTACAGTACGTTTGATATTCCTTGCTACGGCCCCAAGTACCGCAAGAATGAGGACCTCATTGAGTTCTATGAAACAGCCATTAAATTTTACCGTGAGCTGCCCACCTATGACTGGCTTGCCGCTGAAGGTATCACCCCTAGTAACAAGACAGCCTACAGCCTCTCTGATATTACCAATGCTTTGAAGAAGCACTATGGTGCTACTCCTCATCTCGGTTGCAGTGGCCCCTCGTACAGTGAAACAGATGCCGGCAAGGGTTCCAATGACCATGGTCGTACTGTCCTCACGGAAGTCTGGTACTTCAACCATGTCACTGGCCGTGTCCAGGATGCTAATGCCACGCACATTGACAGCACTACTGATACCTCTTGCTCCTCCGCTGATGGTGCAATCTGGTACTACGAGCGTGCGTCCAAGAGCGAGCAGGACGTAAGCGACAAAGAGTTCTAAATTTGGTCCTTTTTCATTCATTCTATTTGTAATTCAATCATAGACCTTTTTTTTTACTGTTTGTGTTGGTTAATAGCTGGATTCTGGTTAACTGTTGTCTCTATATGACGTAGCTGCTTGTCAGTGAGAGAAATGGGAAAGTTCTCGTAAGCTAGTCGTCATCAAGCTATCGAGAACTACAATTAACGTTTCTCATTATGCAACCACCCTATGTTGGGTTCTTTTGAAATGCTCTCACAAGTTCTTACCAAATTAGCACCCGCTCTTCATTACTTTTAGTGCTGCACATTTCTCCCATCCTTCTCTCGGTGATTCACGGGCAGGAGAATACCCAATCGGGATTGAATATAACCAATCAAGGACCATGACACATATGGGCCTTAACAAAAATGTGCCCCACCCAGGTTACTTGCACCATACAGGTCTATTCTCCCATCTACCAAATATATAAGTATATATATACATTTACTATTTATCGTTAAGGTGGAGCCTTGATAATATTATCACTCCACATAATCTTCTTCATTGAAATGTCTCTAGGGAGATTATTTTATAAAAATGTAGAAGTGCATAAATTCCCTTAGAATCTCTCTCCATAAGAAAATACGAAAGAAGTATGCTAAAAGTCGTTGACCGTTATGCATTTTGAAAATACGTAATTGCACGATGTGGGTCACTACCCGCACCTTCCTCCGACCTTCTTCACTGCATGGATGAAACCAATGGGGATACGCCACGACACTCTCCATCCTTCGTGCTCAACAACCACGATACTGGTCATTCGCACGACGGCTTCACCTCTGAACAATGCCAGCAGTTTAACGAATGGATGGAAACTACTGAGTTTAAAAGCATTGTGACGCGGGAACGGTATGTTCTTCGAGTTTGTGTGCTACAGGCCATTGCGGAAGGCCGCACTTCAACACAAATTGCTGCTCAGGGTGTATGTACCAAGGTCTTTGTGAACAAGACTCGGCAGCATTACTCCTTATCGAACAGTGGCCATTTGTTGTACCATGCTCGCAAGGACAAACCATCCCTCACTGTCGTGCCACAGGACGAAGTGTTTCATACGGTAGTGTATGAGCACAATGCCATTCATCATCAAGGCGTGAAGAAGACATGGTATGAAGTGTCTAGACGGTATCATGGAATTCCCCGACGAGCGGTAGACTGGGTTGTGCATCATTGTCATCTATGCGAGGCACAACGAGAAGGTCCACGTCCAGCTCCTACGCAACCTATCCACTCGGACCATGTCATGGAGAGAGTTCAGATGGACCTCATTGATATGCGAATGAATGCTGATGGCCGCTACAGATGGATTTTACATATCAAAGACCACTATTCACGGTTCTGCATGCTATACCCTGTACGAAGACGCAAAAAGCAAGAGGTACTTCGGTATCTACTTGATTGGATGGCACTCATGGGCCCGCCTTCGATCTTGCAGACGGACAACGGTCGTGAATTTGCTAATGAGGCTGTGGCTTATGTTGCGCAGCAGCATCATATTGTCATACGTCGCAGTCAGCCCGGCCGGCCACGTAGCCAAGGCATGGTCGAACGAGCGAACCGGCATATCCGAAAAATGGTCGTCAAATGGTGTCGTCGGTTTAAGCGCACAGATTGGGCTATGTGCCTTTCTACTATTGCTATGGCATGCAACATGTCAGTTCATTCTACAACCAACAAGACACCGTATGAAGTGGTGTTTGGTCGCATGCCTCCTATTGTACGTGCACGTAATTACAGTGGGCCTAGCACGACGCCCCTATCTCCTCCTCCTAGCCAGCCTACGTGTGCATCACCATGCTCTGTGGAGCCTACAGACAGTGCGTATGATGCTGGCTTATCTGTGTCGTACCACAAAGCCACGTCGCATTCTTCTGCACCGCCGGTAGCAGCATCCCCTGTTAAAGCCAAGCTGTGGCCTCGTGGCTCGTGCGTCACAGTGGGACTGCACGGCTTTCCCCACATGCCCCTTTGTGACTATCGCATTCCCGGCCTGGTCGTAGACTATACAGCTGGCATTGGCTATACCATCGCAACGCAATGGGGTATGATCACTGAGGCGATTCCCCCTCGCCATGTGCTGCTTGCTCCTGACGAATCTATGCCATGGGTGGCACAGGCAAAGCAGTACCTTGACCAGCCAGATACAGCGCCGCTCCTAAGCCTAGCAGAGTGTGCAGAGCATTTCATGAGCGAATCTGCCAGCGCATCGCAATCCATGACAACACATCTTTCGCATGATACTATGCAGTGGCTACAAGAGGCATGTGAATTGTGGTAGCACCTGTGCCTGTGGTGACAGGGCGGCCAATAACGAGGTTGGATGAGGGCGTGGACAGGTTGTCCGATTCCTGGAACAACGCAGCGCCACTCAAGAAAGCCATCGTCATTTCGAAACTGGCCTTGAGCAGGGGCGATGGTGCATCGGCCAGACCACCGCGGCTAAATGGACGGAAATCGCCAAACGCCGTCTGGTAGTCAGCGATCAAGTACAAGTGGCGCATCGAGACACCGATACCGTAGGTGTCGAAAATGCCCTTCAGCTCGCTGACAATCGCGGCACGAGCTGCCTCCACACCGTAGCACGAAAGCAGCGCACCAATATCGTTGGAGTAGATACGATCCAGGTCAATCACGCCAAAGCCAAAGTCCCAGAGACCAGGCAGGTTGATACCCTCGGCGGTGAGCGCGACTTCAGTCTCACCCGGCGCAGGTGGCGGGATCATCATACGACTAATACGCGGGATTTCATGCACCACACTGGCACGGCATACACGTTCAATCACATTGATCAGCAGCATCTTTTCAGTGCTGTTATGCATCTGCAGATCAAACTCGGCCCACTCGCCATGAACGCTGTCGAAGCGGAACGCCGAGACAAACTTGCTTTCGTTCTGCAGGCGCTCATCCAAGTCTGAGACACGAGTTTCCATGTTTGCCGGCTCCTGGTCCTCGTCTTCCGGTGCCTCCTCGGCCTCGTCCTGGAAGGCACGCGCAATCTCGTCAGCGGTGTCCGCCTCGCGGTCCTCGGCCTCAGCCTCGTCGTACGACACCTTGGAGCCTGCATTCGCGCGACGTTTTGCTGCCGTAGCATCGTCATCGTCACCTGCCTCCGACATGCGGTCTTCATCATCGCTGTCGTCCTCGGGCCGTGCGCGTGTCGATGGCGCCTCGTCATCCTGGTCGGCCTGCGCAGGCGTATCATTGAACGTCTCGCCCTGACCAATCGACTGCGACTGACGCACCTGGTCACGGCGCAGACGCTTGAGTTCACGAACAATCTCACGCTCGACGAGAGGCACGAAGGTCGCCTCCAAGCCTTGAAGTACGTGCTCCGTCGAAGCATTGTACTCCTCCAGCACTTCATCGGCAGGGTAGAATTGCAAGCGCACTGTGTACTGCTTCTGGCGCTGGTATCCATTTGCGGCCGTCTTGGGCATCATACGTTCCGTGACGGTCGCCTCCTCCACAATCTGACTGAGCACCAAGCGGCTGCCGTCCTTGCAGAACGTGCGCATTTGATCCTCGGTCACGCCCTCACGCACGGGCAGACGCATAATCGGCGTCTTGATATCTTTCGAGGCCGTCATGACAATCTCACGAAGACGGGGGATACCCAGCGTCACATTGGCAGCACCGTGACCAGCAAAGTGGAACGTGTTCAGCGTCATCTGCGTCGACGGCTCACCCACACCCTGCGCGGCCAGCAAACCGACGTTTTCTCCTGGCTCGACCAGTCCGCGGTGGTACAGCACCTTGGTCATCGCACGGAACTGCTCCGCGTTGAGCTTGGGGCGTGCGAGCTTCATGGGCACTCCCTCCGGCGTGGTATCTTTCTTCTTGCGGGCCAGCAAGCCACGTGGGTTCTTCGCCACGTACTCCTCCACCTTCTGCGCAAAGCTTTCCGACATGGAACCAAAGTGGCGCGCCGGGTTGTACACGGAAAGCACAGGTGCATACTTGTGCGGCTTCTTCAGCGCACGCTTCATGTGATCCGGCGCCGACTCGACTTCCATCGCAGACTCGAGCTGCACAGGGTTGTAGCGTCGGCGGTAACTCTCGAAGTTCTGGACCGTAAAGTCGAAGCGGTCCAAGTACTTGCTCTTGGTCACATCCAACGCATCTTCACCATAGTGGAACTGCAGCACAAAGCCGTCGCTGTTGCGGACCGTCTGGTCGTACTGCACAGAGACACCCTCCAAGTGCTTGATCAAGCAGCGCTGCAAGTAGCCAGAGCGCGACGTCTTCACGGCGGTGTCAATCAGACCTTCACGGCCAGCCATGCAGTGGAAGTAGTACTCCTGCGGTGCAATACCCGTAAGGAACCGACCTGCGACAAAGCCACCGGCACGTGCCTCCGTCTCAAATGCCTTGAAGGACGGCAGCGTCTTGCCACTGACCATCACAGGCACACGACGGCCTTCCAGTGCCTGTGGACCCAGCAAGCACGAAATCGACGAGACGTTCACGGCACTGCCCTTCGCACCAGACACGGTCATCATCTGCATGTTGTTCTCGGGGAACACACGCCACAGACCCGAGGGAATGCACGACGCAATCACGGAGCTCGTAAGCTTATTCGATGCACCCATCATAGCGGCATCCAGCGCAGCGAGCTTTTCGTCATCACGCAGCACCTCCTCCAGGCGCAGTCGCAGGTTGTGCTGCGTCTCGGCCTTCTTCGGATTCTCCTCACCAAGACCCACATTGCCCATCGCAGCTTCCAGGCCATGGTGTGCGCCTTCCTTGAGCAAACGACGACGCTCCGCATCGCCCTCCGCACTGAGCAACAAGTCGTCCATACGACATGAGAACGCATTGTGTTGCAACCACATTGTGAACAAGCGCGAGAGAATCGAAAGGAGACGGCCTGCACTCTCGGAGCCGTAGATCTCATATACAGCATGCACGAGACCGTAGGCTGAGGCGCCAATTTGTGACTTGTCCAGCACACCTGTCAGCAACTCGCCATCGCGGACGACCACTGTCTCCTCGTCCTTGTGTGCCGCACCCCAGAACTTCGCACCAACCTTAGCCTTGGCGTCAAAGTTGAGACCCTGCGCATGCGACGGCGTGACATTCAGCAAAATCGTAGAGATGACTTGCTTACCAGTCCAGCGCGGCACAGGCTTGTAGATCGCCGGAGGAAGTGTCTTGATACGGCCAGATTGGTTGTATGTCTCAGGACGCAGCGCATTAAATAGGAACTGCTGGTACTCTTCGCGCGTGTATAGCGTGTTCTTGCACGTCATCCACACACCAGCCACGACGTGATCCTGGATCAGACCACGCAGCGGGTTGCCACTAGTTGGTACAAGATACTGGTTGTCCGTATTCGCAATGTTGTAGCATTCAGCACGAGCCATTTGGCTTTGCGGGAAGTGCATGTTCATCTCGTCACCATCAAAGTCGGCATTGTAAGAGTTGCAGTTGGCGTAGTGCATACGAATCGTGCGCTCTCCCGTGAGTACACGCGCACGATGCGCCATCATCGACGGCTTGTGCAGTGTCGGCTGACGGTTCATGACGAGGATATCACCTGTCCGCAGGTGACGAAGCACCTGCTTGTTCGCGACAGGCGTCCGCAGGGTACCGCCCACGCCGCCAAAGGTGCCACGTGCCTGCCGCGATGTCTGGCCTTGCGGCGTCAGCAGTTGGTTGGCTAGCGCCGTGCGCTCCTCGACCGAGAGGGACTTGAGCAGCGTCTCCGTACCGTCCTCAGCACGCACGGCATGTGCACCTGGGTAGACGTCCGGGCCGTTGATCACAAGCTGGCGCATGAGCTCATAGTTGTGGACCGTGACGGGTTCCGGGTACGTGAGGCGCTTCGCAAACACGGGCGGCACACCGATTTCATTCGTCTCAATATTCACGTCCGGCGAAATGACAGAGCGCGCCGCAAAGTTTACACGCTTTCCCATCATGTGCTTGCGGAACAGACCTTCCTTCTTTTCCAGGCCCTGCTTCACACCAGGTGGCGCTGCAGAGCCCTGGCGCTGCGGCGCAGGGTTCTTGCTCGAGTCCATGTAGCAGTTGACGCTCACCTGAAGTTGCATCATCGCGGAGAGCAGCTGGTCCATGGCAGTACGACGATCCGTCTCCCATTGTTTCTGCAGCGCAATCGCCTCGGATTCGTCCACACCGTCCAGCACAGGGTAGTTGCTCTTGCGCTGGAACGCCTGCGCACGCTCATTGCAATCACGAACCAAGAACGTTGTCTGCAGCACCTTGGTCAGCAACTCGTTCTGTGCATTCTCAAACGTCTGGTCGCCCATGACGCTGGCTGGGCGGAAACGCGTGGGCGTGACACAAATCACTTCGACGAAAAACACATCTGCACTAGGCGCCGCCTGACCGCCAAAGACAGGGTGACGGCCAAAGATCAACGAGCAAATCTCGCTTTCATTCTTAAACAAACGGCGCAGATTGGCTCGGCATTCACTGGCAGGGACTACACGCGTCTGATCCCCTGCATCCTTGCTGAGCTTACGTGCTTCCTTGAGTGTGATTGACGGCGTTTCAATAGTAGCCTCCGCATGGTCATCCACAGCCATGGCCTCGTCACTCTCCTTTGAGCCTGGCTTGGTATCTGCGCGATCCAGCAGGACATTGTCACGGCGAATGCCTCGTGCTTCGTGAATGGCTTGATCACGCGCCGAGAGAACACGCTCGGTAATCTTCACGAACCCATCCTTGCGCAGAGTAGGATTCATCGCCTGGCATCGCTCACAGCGACGGCGCAGGATGTCTTTCAGAAAGACATTGCGCAGATCACGACGGGCCGAGTAAGTGGCCATACCATGATCTGAGCCACGACGGATACCTCGACGCTCTGCCTTAGCAATGAGCTGATTAACCGTAGATGTCATACGCTGCACAAACTCGGCCACCGTTTCAGCTGCCTGTTGAGTCTGAATCGAGGCCAAGGGGACGTCGTCATCATCGTCGCCCTCTTCGTCGTCCGCATCCGCACTTACCTCGGAGCGGCGCAGCTGCTCCAAAGCGATCGCACGAGCCTCTTCCACCATACCATATTCCAGCAATCGGAACTGCGCAGTGTACTTGGCCAGGGCCATTTTGGAGATCTTGAAGTGATGGCAAAAGACACATGTGCCACGCAAAAGTGAGTAGGCATGGTTCATAAACAGAGGGTGGAACACCGGTGCAGGAAGTTCAATGTGCCCAAAGTGGCCTGGACACTCGAAATGGTTCATATGGCATGTCTGGCAAATGTCGTCCAGACGCATCGGACCAAACGCTGGGTCGTACAGCCCACCTTCTGTCGGCGCATTTGCATTGTCAAGCAGCACAGGATTCACTACCTGACGCACAGAGATACTTCGCACCTCATCGGCCGTCAGGAAAGAGAACGAGGCGGACTTGACATGCGACGTTATCGCACGCGTAATGTCCATCGCACCGACAGCGCAAGGCGCAAGAGGTCAAGGCGCCCGTCGTCCGCAAGAAAATTTCTTTGCGGAGGTCACGTGACTTCAAAGCACGAGCGAGTGAGGCGCCAGGCCACGGCCTGCACGACAAGAGGCAGCTGGGCACAGACGTCGCCTCCTTGTGTTCGCGTGCGTAGCCGATCCCAATGTCGTCTACGTCGTGGCTGGCGCGTCTCACGCCCAAGTCCAATGAGGCACGAGGACTTATGTTGTGTGGAATCGTGGCCATAGGCTCGTCTCTCGCGACGATGTCGGCCATATGGACTTTTCAGACACACGCACGGCGTCGCCGGCGTCGTGCGCTCAAAGCCGAGGCAGCGTCGCACATTGACGAAGCCGACTTGCACTTGATACCTGATGCTACGATGCTGACGCAGGCCAAGCTTGATGAGGCGAAGCACACGTCTCGCAAGGAGTTTGACGACTCGTTGATTCGTGAGCAGCTCAGCCGTAACTACAGTTTCCTTGGCGAAGAAGGTATGCAGGCCATCCGCGACAGCTTTGTCGTGGTCGTGGGTGCCGGCGGCGTGGGAAGCTGGGCTTCTCTTATGCTCCTGCGCTCCGGTGTAGGCAAACTGCGCCTGATTGACTTTGATCAAGTGTCCTTATCTTCTCTCAACCGACATGCATGTGCGACGCTCGCCGATGTCGGTCGGCCTAAAGTAGTTTGTTGCGCGCAGTTTTTCCAGAGCATTGCGCCATGGGCCGAGGTCGAGGCATGTGTCGATTTGTTCCGGGAAAGCGAGGCGGATCGACTGTTGGCCGGTCGTCCTACGTATGTGATTGATGCCATCGACAACTTGGATACCAAAGTGGAACTGCTCAAGTACTGTGCGCAGCACAATCTCAAAGTATTCTCATCTATGGGCGCAGGCGCTAAGGCGGACCCCAGCCGCATTCAGGTGAGCGATATCTCTGCCACTGTGGAAGACCCGCTAGCGCGTGTGGTCCGCCGTGAATTGCGTGCAGCTGGCGTGCCGACGCTGCCAGCCGTGGGCAGCGAGGCGGCCAAAGCGCGTGCGAAGGGCGAGACTGGTGCGGACGATGCGAGTGTCATGATTCCCTGCGTATACTCGACGGAAAAGTCGGACACGCATCTGCTTCCCCTCCCTGATGAAGAGTTTGAGAAAGGACCCGTCTCAGAACTCGCCGCTTTCGAGGATTTCCGAGTGCGGATTCTACCTGTGCTCGGACCTTTGCCGGCGATGTTTGGTCTAGCTGCAGCTACCTACATTCTCTGTGACTTGGCACACTACAAAATCGAGCCGTTGGCCGTCAAAGGCCGCCGCAAACTGTACGAAAAACTGTTCGCCGACTTGAACGTGACAGAGTCACGCTACCCATCGCCGCCCGTCGACATTCACAACGCCTCGCAGGCGCACAAGCGCACACTTACAGAAGCGGATATTCCGCCCACATACCATGCCGCGAACAACAAAGACGGACCCCCGCCCAAAGTGCGCATCCCATTCAGCGTCAATGACATTGCTTATCTTTTTGAAGAGGTATTCCGCGGCCGCTCTGTCGTCCCACCATTCGATACACTCGCAACGGGTCAGCTGCAGCGTTGGGACCCTACCAAGCCCCTGGACTACGACAACGTAGTCCTCTTTTCGCGCCCGCAAGCCCGCGAGCATGAACAGTACGTCCTAAAGACAGGAGACGATCCAGTATCGTACTGGGGCCCGCGTGTAGCCGATCGTGTGCGTGAACGGTTTGCCGAGGAGCGCCGTATGTCGCATTGGCGCTAGGCGCTCAGTCACGTCTTTGCGACGGTGGAGGACTGGTCATCGCACGCAACGCATCCGATTCCATCTCCTTGTGTGTCGCAACTTGCTGCTCAGACGGACGATCGGGACGCTCGCGGTGAGTGTCCACTGCTTCAATGGGAAGCGGATACCGGACTTCGTCACAACCATACGCCTTGGGTGTAAGTTTGATGACGGTATGAAGAGGGACTTTAATATACGGCAAGTCGTTTTGGTCATAGCCCATAAAGTAAGCATACAGCGCACGGATGATAGCTTGGTGGCCAACAATGAGGATGTTGTCCTGCCGTTCCAACTCCATAATCACAGGCTCGAGACGTACAACCAAGTCGCGGTAACTCTCACCGCCACGGTATCGGTAGTTGAACTTATCATCGTCGCGACTTGCATAGTCTTCTGGGTAGAACTTTTCAATCTCCTCGTACGTCATACTGTCACATACGCCTGCATCCAATTCATCGAGCGAATTCCATACGAGCTTGGGGTAGTTCAGGAAACTCGCCGTCTGGCCCGTACGACGCAACGAACTATGCCATACGGTCAGCGGCGCATCGCCGATATTGTCGTGGATGAGCTTCGGCAACGCACGAGCATACTGCCATCCACGCTCGGAAAGATCAGAGTCACCACCAATCTTGCCTTCCACGTTGAACTGTGACTCGCCGTGACGCGAGATGAAAATGTTGCGGGGCGTCACATGCAGGTTGAGTAGGTAGAACGCAATCTGCGACTCCAGGTAGCTGTTGATCAGATTCAGCGAGGCTGACCGGCCTACATCGATGATTTTGCAGTACGAGTAGTGACGTTCTGTGCCATCCTCATCGAGCGGTTGGTACACTGCCTCATAGTTCTTGATACGACGCAGGAAATCTTCCTTCGCCTGCTCGCTATTCAGCTTGGCATAGTCGGGGTCACTGCTTCGCACCTTGACGGCCACATTTTCTGCGATCACTTTCGGGTCTGTACATATGGATTCAAGAAAGAGAAGTCGCATGTTTGATTCGCACGCCACACGATCTGCCAGCATTTTTCGGCGTGCCTTGGTAGTATTGGTCGCATCCAAAATACCTACATTACCACCGCCCTCTTTGAGCCACTTGATAAGCTCTTCAAGGCACTTGTGAGCAAGCTGGTCACGGAGCTTCTTCGCTTCCTTGTTCTTCTCGTCGAAAAAGTCCGCATTGTGAGAGGGCGATGGCTTCGAGCTGTTGCAAGTGGTATCGGAACGGGCCACAGCACGACGAAGCTGCCCAACGTTGAATACACGTACATTGTACTCACGCCAACGCAAATATCGCATCAATTTGTTGCTCAGATAGCTCTTGCCACGCGCTGGCAGGCCAACCATAGCCACCACGATCTTCTCTCCACTGTAGTCAGGCTTTGCTCCGCGTTCGCCTAGGTTTGGCGTGCTAGGGATGGTACGTGTGATAGTTGTAGAGTTGGACGAGTGACGCAGCACGGAGGTGTGGATCGTCGTGTCCGGGATATGACTCAATTTGGCCTTCGCCACATCTGGCAGCGAGTACTGCGACGAGGAGCGGGACTCCTTCAGCCTGCCCTCGGGGGGAAGGGGAGCTTCTTGCGTCTTCGGAAAGAGTGTACTGCGTACATTTCCTTCATTGTGTGGCGTGCTGGCATAGCTGCCGGTGCTATCAGCAGAGACGCGTGGCGCTGTAACTGTCTCGTCGGGCAAGATTTTTTCAGCTTCTTTTGCGAGCTCCGTCGATACAAGCTCTGGATGATCACGCAAAAGCGCTAGCAGTCCGTCCGATGTAGATCCCAGTGAGGTAGATGCCACTTTCTCCTCAAACTGCTGACGCATCAATGGATCTGGGGCGGGCACCGGACGAGAAAGCTCTACGGTCGTATCGCCATCTTCCGAGACCTCCGTATCTGACTCTTTGTGCATGATACTAGGTCCCATGAGTTTTTTCTTGTCATATTCATCTTTTGGTACCGGCTCTGCGACCGATTCGAGGATCTCGCTATCGTTCATATTCGCCTGGCGCGGTAGTGGGATTGTCCTGAGCGCACTATCAGAAGGCGCCTGTCACACCCCACTAGGTCATATCACGTGATAACAACGCCAGGGACGAGTCGCCTTCCCCCCACATTCATTGAAGCTCTATTGCATCGGCATGGAGGCGGTACACCGTGGGCGTGTCGTGTATACGCACCTCTCTTCGTATGCACCCCGCTTGGAGATAGAGACTCCAAATGTACCGGAGACATGCTCATCCTACGTCCTAGTACCTCTGCCGTCGGCCGTGTATTTTGATCCATATACAGCCCAGCTTGACTCGTTGCCGGCTGTCCGCGATGTGTTCCTGCTTGGCCAGCTGGATCTGGAGAAGCCGCAAGGCTGGTCAGACATGGACCGTGCTACTGATTATGTAGAGGAGGTACCGCGGATGTGGTGGGAAGGGGCGCCCTCGCCCTCGACCCAGACGTGTCATGGCGACGAATGTGAGCATGCCGCCTTGCTGGTAGCGCTAGATGGGACAGCGTCTACCAAGATCTCTGTACCTCTGCATATGCGATATCTTCAAGCTATGCATTGGCCCAACACTAGTCGGCTTGAAACGTACGATCTCTCGTGGATTACGTCGGCCACGATGCCCGCGCAGCTGCCGGCCAGCTTGACGCCTGCATGGCATGCCGCCGCGGCCTTGGTCCACCGTCTCGCATCAAGAGGACTACAAGTGGCCTCATACCTGGACTCGTTCCTTATGCCGCACTATGACCGCATTCATCTCGCAAAGAACGCGCCCATTTTCTTTGCGACATGCGAGCAGCCTACAGACTCAGAGTGGGATCCAGCAGGTACGTGACAAGTAGACGTGCTGACTGTAACAGACATCCGTACGTTCCTTCCAGACTCGCATCAGCACCTGCTTCCAAGCCTGCAGCAGCACCTCGCATACCAGACGTATACGGCCAGCCTGCCAGCCATCATCGATTCTGAGGCTATCGTATCGTTACCGGTCGGCGATGCGACCAAGGCAGGCGCTGTGCAAATCGCGACATTTGCCGCTATTCTTGTGGCTAGTATTTGGCTTTGTCGTGCGATTTTCCGTGTTCGTGTCTAAATAGATCTACGTTAATAGTCATCGCCACGTGAGACGACTTCCTTGCACGTAGGACGAAGATGAATGGTGTGTTCGAACTGCGCCGTCATGCATCCTGGCACATCGGCCAACGGCGGGTAGTCCGTCACGACGCCTTGCTGCACAAGGTGACGCAACGCAAGGAGGTAGTTCTTCTCGCCGATGCGGTCGAGGTAGCGACGGCAGAAAGGCAGCGAGCCGAAGTTTTTGTTGATGTTGTACAGCAGTTGGCGCGCACTGCTGACACGCAGCGGCACCTGAGGCGGGTTGACCTTGCGGGCGTAGTGCGAGCACTCACCCGAGTCGACGACGTAGCCACGACCTGTTGAGCCGAATGTCTCGATCGCAAAGTATTCACCCTCTTCCATCTTCACATCGAGGCCAGGCGTCGCTACAATCGGCACCGACTTACCGCCATGGATACGGTATGGCTCAATGTTGTGGCCATTCAGGTTACGAATGCACTTGACTTGGTGCGTCTTGCCATTCACCTCAAATTCATGACTCTCCATGACTTCCTGCACAGCCGCACCGACGTCGCCCAAGCGCACGTCGATACCCGCAGCGGCGACACCGGCATTCGTCGCCTCCTTCACAGCAGCGACCAGGGGATCCCACGTCGGCTCAAAAGTCATAGTAAAAGCACTGTCGACAATGCGGCCCTTCACGTGCACACCAAAGTCGACTTTGAGCACATCAGAGCTCTGCAGAACGCGCTTGTCGCCTGCGTTGGGCGTGTAGTGCGCGGCCACCTCGTTCAGACTCAGGCCAGTCGGGAAACCAATACCACTCTCGAATCCATTCTCTTCGACGAGCGTACGAGTACCGTTTTCGATCAAGTTCGCAATGTCCGTCATCGACATGCCCGGCTTGATCGTGCGCTGCGCATACTGACGCACCTGACGATGCACTTCCGCAGCGCGACGCACAATGTTGTAGTCGAATCCGTCCTCCTGTTGCACAAGGCGCTCACGCTCACGCAGCTCTTCACCAGTAATACGCTTGCGCGACTCGTCGAACTTCGACTCGTCGTACGCCTGGATCTCACCCACCGGGAAAATGCCGTTGGGGAACATCTTGGTAAGGCCAATCGATGGCGGCTCCGTTTGTTCACATACCGCCTTGGCTGTCGTACCCTTCTTCTTCGCGCCGCTCTTCTTCTTCTTCTTTTTCTTCTTCTTCTTCTCGCCTTCGGCCTGGGGAGCGGGGGCCGTATCGTCGTCGTCTTCGTCGTCGTCCTCACCCTCGTTCACTTCCGTCTCAGGAGGAAGCTTGGTGTCCTCCAGCTTCGTGGCAAGTGCATCGGCAGCAGTGCCTGACACGGTCTCAGGGACTGGCTCAGCAGACATGGTCCGGGTGAGAGAAAAGAAAAACCAGGTGCCTCGACGGCGAGTTTTTCGCGCAGGACCAGCCTGGTGTCAACGCCCAACGTGTGCTTAGTCAGCGACGTGGTCAAGCCGCCCCTGCCTCATTCGCGAGGCAGGCAGCTCTCTCGCTTGACGTGCGTGGAGACCGGCTTCGACCAAGATGATCAATGTACGTGCATGTTCGCTAATAAACAGCTTTGGAGCCAGCGAAAGGAAGCGGATGAAGCACGGAAACAGCGGCCTAAAATTTCACCGGCACAACTACGTGCACAAAAAGGTACGTGGGAACAACGCAGCACCACTCATACCGACGTAGACTTGGCCGAGCTGGATTTGCCACCGACAATGCAAACACGGTTCCCTGATCCATCCAATATCATGAACTTTGAGGTCCTTATTCGCCCTGACGAGGGCATGTACCGCGGTGGCGAGTTCCTCTTCACGATCGCTATCAACAACAACTACCCGCATGACCCGCCGAAAGTCAAAGGCGTGGCAAAAGTATACCACCCCAACCTTGATTTGGACGGCAATGTGTGCCTCAATATTCTGCGTGAAGACTGGAACCCGATCCTAAACCTTAACTCTGTCTTGGTCGGCCTGCTCTTCCTGTTTCTCGACCCGAACCCAGACGATCCACTCAACAAGGAAGCTGCCGAGGAACTGCGTCGCAACAAGGCGACGTTTGCTGCAGATGTGCAGCGTGCTATGCAGGGGGGTGTTGTGCGAGGCATGCAATACGATCGTGTGCTATAGACATGTAGATACGAGGTACGATCCATTACTCCGACTTCTCCACAGGCGCCTCACCGTTCTGTGCACGGCGGCCCCAACCACTCCAGCTCTCGTCGTAGATAGCGCCATTGATACCGAGCTGCTGCAGCGCAAGCCAGATCGTGGCAGCCGTCATACCACTACCACACGTGAGCGAGACGCCCAACGAGCCTTGCGACGAGGCATCGTGACGCAGCTTCTCAATACCATCTTCGCCCACCACACCGGTAATGACCTTCCACAAATCCTGCTGCGACTTGAGCGTCGTGTAGGTCGAATCGCCGCTGGTCTGTGTGTCAAGGAGCGACGACTGCGGCAGGGAGAACGAGTGAGGAATGTGACCAGCTGCCATGTCAGGACGAGGCTCAGGCGACTTACCCTCAAAGCGTGGCTTGGGCCGGGCATCCAACACGAGCTGAGCACGTGAGCCCAGTGTGGTGTTGTGTAGCATTTCCTCGAACGAGCGGATCCAGCCGTTCAGCAAGCTTGGCTGCTCGTACTTCGTCTCTTCGACGGACGGATCGGCTGTAAGGGCTTGGGCGTCGATGTCCTGGCCGGCCGCAATCCAAGCAGGAAGACCACCATCCAGCACGGAAATGGTCTTGTGGCCAAATGCCGCGAATGTGAACGCAGCGCGGGGCGACGAAAAGATACCCTGGCGATCGTAAACCACGACGTGGGTGTCGCGCGTAATGCCATGCTTTCCTGCTGCGTCGGCAAACATCGAAGTGCTCGGCATCATGTTTGGCAGGTTCATAACGGATTCGCCGCGAGTGACGATGTTGTCAATGTCCCAGAACAGCGCACCGGGCAGACGTGGGCCCTGCAAGAACTCCTTGTGGCCGTCACGAGCTGGCTGGCCCGGCATGTTGAGGAACCAGGTTGCATCGAGGATACGCAGCGCCTTCTTAGATGACACGAGCGATGCAAGCTGTGCTGGTGAAATGAGCAGAGGGGGCAAGGAAGCGACAGATGAAAGAGACATGATGGATGTGTGAATACAACGAACGCTCGGGCCTCTGCGGTGCCCTACGCCTTTATATAAGCATGCGGAGGCCTTCCCTATTTTTGCCACTTTTGGCGTTGAGGCTGCATGTGCCCAGCGCACCACGGGGCAGCCTTACGGACAACACGCGGAGGACCGGAGGGCAGTTCCCCAGATTTGAGTGGTTCACTCCGTCGCACGAAGGAACACCGGTGGACGCCCGTCCGTACGTAGCCCAGCCCCCTCATGGTGGCCCCTACGGTGGATATTGAATGTACGTACTGCCATTGGAAGGACAAAATTTACACAGCAGTATCGGAGCCAGCCGTCTTTCTCAATGACCCGCAGGCGGGATGTATGTATGCGACATCACTCACTCGACTCCAGCTGAAGCAGATATCCAGCTGGCTGGGGAAAACGATGTTCCGCCTTCGCAGGTCCGTGGCATCGTGAAGTTGAGTCTCCCACGTTCTGCGCGTATTAAGGACATTGTCATTACCTTCACAGGTTCGTCACGTACAGACTGGCCTGAAGGCCTTAACAAGAATGGCATTGGCGTTGTCGAGAAGGCAGAAATTTTGCGGTTAAAGACTAGTGTCTTCCGTGATAGTAAGGGCAATCCCCTGGGTCTTGGGCAGAAGGCCAAAGCTGAACATGCGGAAGCCTATCTTGATCGTCGTCTCTCGCAGCCACAGCTGCTCCTGCCTGACGAAGTGGTGGCGCAGGCGCGTGAGCATCGAAAAGAACGCCCTACGATGCCACCGAACAACAGATCCCTACGGTCGATGCGTGGCCTATTGGATGGACTTCGGGCAGGTCGCACATCTTCTCCCTCTACCTCTTCGCCCTCTTCGCCTTCCCACGAGATAACTTCGCCCTTGGATACTTCCAGTGTATCCTCGAGTACGGTAGCGGAATGGTTTGAGCTGCGCAAAGGCGAATACGAGTATCCATTCTCCCTCTCTCTCCCCCGAGACCTCCCCCCTACGCTGCATGCTGACTTTGGCAGCATTTTGTACACCCTCAAAGCGACAGTATTCCGCAGTGGCCCCCTCTCCGCCAATGTGGCTGCACAAAAGGAAGTGACTTTGGTACAAACGCCTGACATTTCGCAAAGCACAGCAGCCGATACCATTGTGGTCAATCGATCGTGCGAGGACATGTTGTCCTACCACGTTGCGATTGACGGCCACAGTTTCCCGATTGGAACATCGATCCCTATCCACCTCACGTTTATGCCTCTCAGCAAGACCAAAGTGCATCGTATGCTTTTTGTGCTTGAAGAGAAAATCGAGTACTTTGCCAACGAGCGTAAAGTCACGCGCCATGAAATGCCACGCAAATGGAAGCTTCTGCATCTTCAATACACAGATAGATCGATGCCGCTCCTCCCACTTCAAGGCGAAGAGGCCGAGACCCTGCTTCAAGGTTCGCCGCTGCGGCCCTACGTGGAGAATGCCGCTGCTGAGAACGCACTGGAAGCAGACGAAATCCGACTTGCACCTCTCAATCCACTTGGTCCCTGGCGTTTTGCGATGTCTCTCCCTGTCACGATGGAGCGTCAGAAAATGATCAATATTTCAAGTCAGCATCCTGGCTCCAACATTCATATCTATCACACGCTCAAAATCACGATCCGTGTAGAATCGCTTGGTGGCTACCGTCCTGATGGGACACAGACAAACACGGCAGCTGATCCAAACGGAAAACCCCGGGTCCTCGATATTGTGATTGGGGTGCCGATTACACTTACGCATTCCAAGACTTCCTTGGAATGGATTAGCTTGCCCACTTACGAGGCCAGCCAGCCTCCGGCGGACGATTCACCACCGCTATTTACGGCAACGGCTGAAGAGCCTTCCTATATACGCCCTCCTCCCCTCTGATCTCCTTTGTATATACATCCTGATGGATGCTAGTCGATTGTATAAGCACTCGCTGTGCCTGTTGTATACATACATACATACGTAGCTAAGTTCGCTTCAAGTGGTCATGTTTTTATGTGGAGGGCTAATACCTCGTAGGTTTCAGTCACGCATGCTTGCAACAGCCCCGCCGTCGTAGGCATGGCTGTTGCGTGCGATCAGTGTTTGTTCGATCCGACACGAGCTTCTAGGGGGCTTCGTATGACGGGGGTGGACACGAGCGCGCCGACAGGCGCTGTGCGTGCACCCGACCCGAGCACGTCGGATGTGGCATTAACGTATGTGAAAGCATCTTTGATTAACATTGCCAGCTCTTTCCACGACGTGTATGAACATTTGGAGCGTGCGCGCCAGACACGCGCCTCGTCGGAGTTGCAGGCGATCCTCGATGCGCGGCAAGCCCGTATGCGCGAGTGTGGAGCACCCCTTCCACGCCGCTCAGCATCGTCGCGCGCGTCCATTGAAAAGCAGAACGAGGTGACGTGGCATGGCGTATCGCTCAAGGTCGACGCTACGCAGCGGGACCTGTGCTTAGCGATTAGTGACCGGCTAGACGTGGACGAAATTGAGGCACTTGCTCAGCTGCGCATCTTCTTTGCAAGTGAGCACCGTACGCTTACAGCACTTGAGCCGGCCCTGTCTACGTCGAAGGCTGAGTCCACCGATGACATCTTGGATGCCTTTTATCTCTTTTTCCTTGAAGAGCAACTCTCTGTGATTCGGTGTATTAGCGCTCTCTTGCGCATTGCTGAGGATGAGAGCAATGAGCTGTACGACGTTGCCACACACGCTCTACGTCCGTTTGCCGACCCTGCGTTTGCGATGCAGTGCTTGCGTTGGTTCGACGAGGCGACGTCGCAGTCGCTACCTACCTCAATTGCGCGTGATACGCACTATTCCATGTTATGGGCTCGCCATGGACTGGAACGTCAGCTGGCTCTTCTGGAAGTCGTGTTCCTCTTATACTACGGGCGTCTTTCTGCGTCCGCTGCGTTGGTCGCAGATACATTGGCTATTGTCCAACGTACGCACTTTGGCCAGCGTCAAGCGAATGCCGGCTTTTTCAGCGAAGACGATCAAGTACTTTGTGGCTGCATACGTGATGTCCTACTCCTGTTTATTGCCGAGTGTCTTCACTTGGAAGCGGCGTTGGAGCCGTGCGAGACAGGTACTATGGCCTCGTCGGATCCACCACTGGCTTTATGGGCCGCAGATCCTTCGTCTCTATCTCGTGCCTTAGATGTGCTGGACACCGCGACGTCGCATGTTACCTATGCGCCACTCCTTCTAGGGTTTGCCCTGGTCCTTCGCCGCCTTGACGAAGTACAAACGGCCGCGCCGACGAGTATGGAGCCAGGTTTGGTGGATGTCGTGCGTGTGCATGACGATGGTCCACCGATGTGGCAGCGGCTGGTTCAGGGTGCTTTTGATCCCTCGATGGATCTGTTTGGCGGGCTACAGACCCTTGTCGACTCGCCGTTGCTGGGCTCTTCCACACGTGTGCTGGGCGCGTCCAACTTGTCGGCACTGGCGTACCGCGCTGTGGCCAAAGGGTTGGTGCTGTGTGTCACCGAACTTGTGCAGCCCGCGTACCTGCCTGACCTCGATGTCCTGGTCGATGTGTGGTGCAGTACCTTCCGTGCTCCGCCCGGTGATAGTGCGGATGGGATTGCTGCGTTATGTGCGCAATTCTGGACACAGGACCGGCCCTATGCTACACGTTCTTCGCTTCTTGAGACAGCGCGACGTCGGTTCCCAGCGAGCTGTCGACCGCTCGTGCGCCTCGCTCATGCTTTGACAGGCTCATCACATGCCATGCCCTCCCCTGCGACAGCGACAGCAGTGGTTGAGACTCTTGCCCAGCTGTCTACATGGGCGATGATCCTGCCTCCCTATGCCGCAGGTCTCGCACCATGGGAAACGTTCCAGGACGGCGATGCACCATCGTTGGCCTATCGCCTGCGCACCTCGCTTCGCATTCCCTCGACGCGTCTAGTGTTGCCGGCTGGCACACGCGGTGTCCTTCTTTCGCCGACCGGTGAATCGCCCGCCATTGTCTTGTGGGACTGCATGACGCCCCAAAGCGCCTGGATCGCCCTGCACGATATGCTCGCGAGTGCTGTGAGCTCTTCGCCTACGCCTGCCACGACCACGCGATCCCGTGGCCGCCATACGCTCCCGGCGATGGACGAAGAGTGGCAGGACCCGTCCTCGGTGGCGCCTACGTCCGTCTCACCAGACTGGGCGGATACGCCACAGCTAAGCGCCGACATTGCTGAGCTCTTTGCTGATGTCCTTTCTGCAGACGAGGCGCTGGGCGATGCGCTACTGGGGCATATCGGTGAGCCATGCACGCTAGTGACGTCTGCGCTAGCGATGATCGAGGCAGGCTTGCGCGATGGAGGGCATGCGGCCTCGGTCGATGTGCGCTGTGTGTGTGCAGGCTATCGTTTGTTGGAGGCTCTCGTGCCATTGCGTCCGAACGAGGTTTGGCAACGCATCCGGTCGACCAATGTGCTGCTGGGCCTCGCTGGCCCTGTGCCGCTTATGGATACCATTATACCAGCCAGTACGTTGGTCCAGTATGAATCGCAGCGTGGCATTCTGCATGGCACCCTTAGCCTGCTGGACTTGCTCTATGCGTTATGGATTCAACTCCAAGCGTCGCAGAGTGCTGATCCGTCGGAATTGGTCCACATTAAAGCAAGTGTTTTGGCTCGGGCCTTGGGATGGCTGGCGGAGGCTGTATGGATGGAGCACCAAGGCTGGCTGTACGAGCATGCGAGTACACGCGCGCAGATTGGTTTGGGATGCATGCGACTTTGGTCGGCGCTCTGGGACGATCCGTGTGTACGCCAAGACGACGCAGATCTAGCGCCGCTGTGTGCTGTGCTCACACGCGTCATTGGCCCGGCTGCGACACCTCTCACGCTCGGCCCTCTTTTGCATGTCCTGGCAGCGGGGGCCCCAGCGATTGATGCCCTGTACCGCACTGGTCATCCCTTTGCGGCGCGGCGGACCGAAGAACTAGTAGAAGCGTGCTTAACGACTGTGAGTCAGTTGGTCGTTTCCACTCCCACGACCAGTGTTCTTCCTACGCTGTTTTTCGGCACAGCGCCAGATGCACGTGGGACACTCGCTAGTGCTGTGCTTGGATACGTCACCGCCGCTGTGCCTGCCTCGCTCGCCATGGCCGCCGCGCATGTCGTGACGGACATGGTATGCACCGCCGGCGACCGCACGATGCGACTGGCTGGGCATGTCGGCTCGACCGACCAAGTGGAGGCAACGTGCCAAGCCCTCGTCCGACTGCTGGAGAATACGTACACAGATGGGCCGCTGCGGTGTGCTGTATGGCACATGCTGGCCGCGCTCGTTGCGACGCAGCCGGCGCTCGCGACGTTACTGCTTACAGGTGCCCACTTAGCCCGCGACGTGACTACCAAGTCGGACCATGTTGTGGCGCCCACCGCATTGGCCGTCGCGATGGACGAGCTGTCGCATGCTGACACGTACTGGGATACCTGCCCGGCGTTGCTTGATGCCCTGTTGCAGTTCCTAACTGAGGCCTGGGCGCATGCCGGTGCGTATCCTGCCGTGTTTGGGGCGTACCAGCGCGATTCAGGTATGTGGGAACGAATCGAGGCGCTCCTCTGCAAGACCACGCCGCCGCCACCGTGCATCGCGGCGTTGGCCGATATGGAAACGAGAGACGACGGTGCGGAGGAAGACGAAGAAGAGATGGCTGTGCACTATGCATTCCGCTTGCAAGCGCAAGCGCGTGCCTTGCGTGTGCTATCGCTCGATGTAGAAGCTGCCTCGGCCGCCGTGCCGAGCAAAGCAGAGGCGCGGCCTGACGCAAGTGTGCGCCGCCTTCTGCACCTGTGCACGGCCGAGCATGGTGCGCGTCTCGCGGCGGTTCTGCGGGATGTGTTTGCCACGTCACCGACATCCATGGCGTACGCGCGTGACGAGCACGTGCGAGAAAGCCTGCCTCACCTGCCGTGGATGAGCTTGCGATGGCCTCCTCGTCGTGACGACTATGATCGGCGACGTACGTATGGACGCTCGTATGTTTATGCGTGGTCGGCCCTCGCGCCTCGTCTGCTTCTGGACGAGCCTGCCGCCGCAGCCCTGGCCATGGACGTGAACCTGACCTGGTCAGTCGTGGATGCTCAGGCAGCTCGGGCGCAGGCATGGACTGCGTGCGTTCGTACTGCCTCTGCTCATTTGCTTGCGCTGGCTGAAACGCAAAGCAGTTCCACGACGAAGTCCTTGCAGCAGGCGCTCGCGCATATCGTGATCGAGGTGGGGCCTTTGGCCTTGCAAGAAGGTCGCACCTCCATAATGGACATGCTCTCTGTACTGATGTGTGCTTCCCATACGGCCGTCACGACCGAGCAGCTGGATGCATGGGCGCACCTTGTTGTCCAGTGGCTCGAGCAGCCGGCGTACACGTTGTCGGCGCTCGCGGGCAATGCAGCGCGCACGTCCTTGGCCGAGCTGTTGCTGGCTGTGGTGACGGCGGTCCAGCGCCAAGACCGCGTATGCAATGCGATGCCAGCGATCCTCGATCACTGCATGGACGCCCTGGCGCAGCTGGATACACTGCTTCCCTACCTGGATGTGCCTACGAGTCCGGAGGCACAGCAGGCTGAGTCGGATTTGGAGGTGCTCGTCGCGATCATCCAGACGTGTCTCACGCCCTCGGCGCATGTGCCGACCAATGCATGGCTTGCGCCGCTCCGGACGACACGGCTTGTGCCTTTTGCTGTGGATGTGCTTGTGCGTGCGCCGCTTTCGGCGCCCAGTGAGCATGTGCATGCCGTGCGTACTCATGTGCGCTTCCTAGCGCCGCTCCTGCGTCTTCTCGAGGCTCTGGCTGCTCAGCCGCTGGCCTGTGAAACGCTCGCGCAGGGCGGCCTTGTACGTGCGCTGTACACGAATACACTGAGTGTGTATCTGGAGAGCGGCACGCTGGATGCTGTGCTGCCTACGGGCGATCCAAACCCTCTTCATGCGTCATGGCTGTGCATTTTACGTACGCTTATCCGGCTGCTGGAGAATGCCGCCGCGGATGTGCAGGTCCACCTGGTCGATACAGATTTACAGGCGTTTGTGCATGTATGTGCGCCGCAACTCCGCCGCGCCTTGTGCCTGTCGCCGTTCAGTGCACGTCCTGATGCCGTGATGCTCGTCGATACGACGCAGTGGGACGAGCTGCGGCTGGTCGTACGACTGGTTCATGCGATGTGGCATGCGAAAGCTATGACGACGGAGCATGTCACCATTCCTCTGCACACCTTGTTCTGGGCGCAGGTGCCCTACTTACTCCAGACACTCGGCTACGTCGCTACGCATCCAGCGGATATGGCTACCTGGCTGGGGTACGAAGGCGACGAGGACCCACTGACCAAGACGGTGTGTGCCCGCGCGCAGGCCGCTGTGGACGACACGTTGGCAACGTTGCTCGCGCTCCTATGGGCACATAGTGAGGCGCACGTCATACTTACATGCGAGCCCCAAGCGTGGCCATCGCCGCCGGCGCTCTTGCAGCCGCATGTCCACGTCACGCCGCATGCCCCTGCGTCTATTGGAACGCTGCTGGAAGTGGCAAGTTTCTGGACAGAGCATGTACGTACGCATCCCGAGCATGTGGAAGCGCTCGAGCAGTGCCTTGGCCTCTGTGCGACGCAAATGCTGGTGTGGACGTATGCACCGCGACGCACGTCGCTGCAGGACGAGGCGCGAGCGCGATGTGAGCAAGCCCAAGCGGAACTGGAAGCGGGTCTAGGCCGCGATTTGGAGGCAGCTGTGCAAGCCGCAGCCGCCCAATGCCCCAGCGCATGGTGGCCCGTCTTGCGTGCCCTCATTGCGCGGTATATGCGCACACGTAGTACATAGACACCTAGGTGGGCTGTACACCTCCACTCCTCCCTCCCTCCACGTTGCTGTCTCCCCCTCTTCCGCATGGCCTCGGCAGCGTCGGCTCCTGTGCCGCGGGTCTCGGCGCGTGTACGTGCGATGCTGGCCGCGCCGCCTGTGCCGGAGGACGTACAAACTGCCTTGCAAACCATGCAGATGATGTATGAGGAAGATCGTTTGCCTGCCGTCTCGTCTCTGCCATCGCGACTTCGGCGTGATAGGCAACGGTACAGCAATGCAGCGACGCACCGCTTCTGTGATGCCCTGGCTGCAGTGGATGCGGCATGTGAGACCGTGCAAGCTGATACGCAATCAGCTCTTGACCGCATTACGGCGACGTATGAGCACATGTCACGCGTGTCGCTAGCATCTCGCGTTTTGGGCGAGCAGGCAGACTCGTTGCGAACGCAAATGTATGTATACGCTAAGACTGACCCTTTAGTGCGGCCACACGAGCCCACCAGGCACTGGCAGAGCAGGTGCTTGCGCGCCTCACACTCACGCCTGATGAAGCTCAGTGCCTGACGGAGGCTGAGGCTCCCATTGATGCGGCGTTCTTTGCCGCAATGGATCGAATTCCCACGATCCTTGAATCGTCCATGTTGCTTGTCGATGCATGCGTTCCCGACGACCCGTCTGCCCTTACATCGAGTACGATCCCCGAGGAGGCGCAGCTGACTAAGGACCTCCGTGAGCGGGCGACGCAGCTGCAGCAGCAAGGGCTTTCACGCTTGGCACGTTGGTGCTCCTCCGAGCTTCGGCAACGTCCATTGGACGGTGCACATGTGAGTGAGACACTTCGGGAAGCGCTGCGTCGGCTGGCCAGTGACGAAGATCGGTTTGAGTACGTACCTGACTTGCTGACCCCCAGCGCGACCATGACAGCGTTTGCAGAGACACGCGCCGGACGCTGGCCTGATGCGTTCCGAGATGCGCTGACACACGGTGCGCAGTCGCGGCCTATCGATATGCACGCCCATGATGCCGTGCGGTACGTGTCGGATATGCTGGCATGGATCCACCAGGCTCTCGCGACCGAGCGCGATATGCTGACCTCACTCTTCCCGACGACCGAGGCAGCGCAGCGCCGTATTGGCGCGCCGCATATGGATGATATGGAGGCGTCCGTAGGCGCTTCTCTGGCCAAATGGCACCGCCGCATACTGGAGCGCAGCTTGGCCGGGTGTGCGTCGCCGTTGCAGCAGCGTGTCCAGCAGACACTGAGCACGGAACGTACGCCTTTGATCCTTCTCCGACTGTACCTTGTCCTGCGTTTCTACCGCGTGACAATGGAACATACCGTCGGCGTAGCCTCGCCTCTTTGTGGGGCTTTGGACGAGTACGTATGTTGTCTACTTACGCAGGCTTTTGTTACTGGCCGATGCCGCTCTCGTACATGCATTGCAGCAAGTTTGCTGGCCTCTCCGATCGGCCCCAACGCTTACTCGTGTGCCAGACGCGTACCCCACCGCCCTCGATACGCTACGAACACTGCTCGAGGCATGTGGACGTGCTGACGAGGAAGCTACGTCTATGTACACTCGGATCACACAGCAGCTTATCGAGCCGCTGCATCACCTCGTTGCCTCCTCACCTACGTCTACACCAGCGCCCGCCCCCACCTCGTCGTGGCTTCGTCCCCGACTGCTGTTCGGTGCGCCGACGCAGCCGAGCGTACAGCCTTGGGACGTGTACACCACGCAGCTGGAAGCATGGCTTCCTCTCGCTCACATCCTCGCACCGTACCAGACGCATGTCCAGGGTCAGTACGAAGCGATTCAGCGCGATGCACTGGATGCGGCACAGCATTTGCTTGCCCTGCATACTGACGAGCTTGTAAAGGCGTCGGGCCTAGCGACGCTCACTGGGCCTGAGCCGCCTCTTGAGGCATTTGCACGCACATGGGCTGCCTTCTGTGCATCGACGCAGCTGCTCCTCGCGCCACGGAGCCTAGATCGCGTGCCTGAAGCGTCGCTACGTCGGGCGATTCATCGCGCGGCGTTGCTGCATGTGGCACAGACGTATACCCAGGCCAAGACGCAATGGCCCACGCTCCCGACGACATCTGACGACGTCTATACTGTACTGGATGTGATGGATATCAAGACGCAGCGCCCGTCTGACGTAGTCCAACAAGTTCTCACGTCTACGGACCAAAGTACATAGGCGCAAGGCGTTCGTACACGCCCAAATCAGACGCGGAGAAGCAGCAGAATACAACCAGATCGACTTGGCGTCCTTCGTCCGTCTGCAGGAACGACTTGACCTGCTCGAGCACAGCGTGCGTTGCATCCTCGATCGGGTAGCCGTACACGCCTGTGGAGATCGAAGGGAAAGCCTGTGGTCAGCCAAAGGGGCGGGACGCAGGCTACGTACCACTGTACGCCATTGGTGCTGTACGGCCTGCTGGAGGCTGTGACGGTAGGCTGCCTGAAGCAAGGTACGTGCTTGTGCCGGTGAATGCTGGCTGTAAATCGGGCCGACGGTATGAATCACGCCCTTGCAGGGCAATTGGTACGCCTGCGTCGACTTGGCCTCGCCCGTCTCGCAGCCACGCAACTGACGGCACTCTTCGAGGAAGCGTGGATCGTTGGCGGCTTTGTGGATCGCGCCATCGACTGTAGGTCAGTTGCGAAGCGTATACGTACCGCCCCCACCACCAAGCAAGGTCTTGTTCGCCGCATTCACAATGGCATCCACTTCCACTGCCTGTGAGTCGTGACGTACATACACTTTGTAATGTCCCTGTATGTTAGCATACGGATGCATACCCGCAGTACAGCGAGATTTTCTTCGCGAGCGCGTTTGCAAACGGCAACGGCTTCAATTGACGTAGTCCCACTACCATGAGTATAAAGGTATGCCCGCCGCGCCGCCGCCGCACGGATGTGGAGTGCGGCGGGGGCAGCAGCAGCAGCGGCGGAGTGACCTCGCTTAACGCCTATACAGGACATCGCCCAGCGCCGCCGCCTTCTCTTTCGTTCCTAGTGAAAATGAGCGCACCACAGCAGCAGGTATATATCCAGCAGGCGCCGCCGCAGCAATCGGTGCTCTCTAAGCGTACGTACAACATCCACTCACACTTAGTCGGCATGGGCGCTGTCATGGGCTCGCTTGTCGGCCTGACCATTGGATTCATCGGTGGCGGTTTCCAGATCCTTCGGTATGTGCCATGCCAAGCTTACCTCTAGCGCGGGTCCGGGTCCCCGTGGCGTCATGGGCACGCTCGCTCAATATATGCTGTCGTCGGGCGCTACATTCGGCTTCTTCATGTCGATCGGTTCGGTGATTCGCACAGAGTCGCTGCCGAGCTCCCAGGAGCAACGCTGGCGTGCTGCCTATCGCGCGCACGGCGTGCGTATTGCTCGTGCCGCGCACCAGCATGCGTAAAAGAGTGTGTAGGTAATAGGCATCTACATCAAAACTAGGCTACACGGCGAAGACGCGCTTGAATAAAGCGCCGCTCCATCACGGCGCCCGTCTTGCGGTTCGTATTGGTCTTTACGACTTCCTCCACGTCGCCAGCCAGGCCGCCGACACGGTGGACGAGCTGCTCGACCTCGTCGCGCGCAAAGAAGTAGGCCATCGTATGATCGCCACGGCGGTACCAATCGTGCGAGTCACTTAGCAGGCTGGGCTCAGCCCACTGCGCGTCCTTGCGGGTATGAAATCGTAGCTGTGCGAGATCCGCTCGTGCATAGTCGCGGAATACGATAGTGGCTCCGACAGGCAGAGCTTGCACGAGCGAGCGTAGGACTGCCTCATGCTCGTGCGGCGGAATAGCAGAGAGGACAAAGATGAGCGAGAGTGTCGACACAGGCGGCCACGATGGTCGCTGTGCGAGGTGGGACGCCAGTACGCCGTCAGTGCGATCGCGGACGAGATCATAGACAAACGCATTGACACGATCTGGTGTATACTGTGGATGCTTTTCAACCAAGCCCACTGCACGCGGCGAAAAGTCACAACAGTGCACACGCAACGCTTCGTTTTTTTCCAGGAGGGGGTACACGGTATTCCCCACACCGCATCCAACTTCAAGGAGGACAGGTGCGTCGTCCCCGGCTCCAACAAGGTCCGGCGCATCCTGCCTCAACTCATCGAATTCGCGGTCGGTCCAGTGCCGGTCTTTGAAGAACCGATCTTCATGTGCTTTGTAGAACTTGTCCCAATTCTTACTAGCTTCGCGCTGTGTCTTCTCCACCATAAAGGTAGTGCTCACGCGCCGATTCTGCGCGAGGATTGCTTGTGCATCCTGGGAAGCACCCGGCATAGGCGAAGACGGTGCAGGCGTATTCCCAGGAATAGCACGGGCCTCGTCTCCTGGTGTCAGTGTTGCAGCCCCCGACATTGTTCGTGCCTTCGCCAAGTGGAGGAGGTTGGCGTGGCCTAGTCTGGTCGACACGCGCGCTTGCTGTTGCTGCTGCCGCCGCCGCCAGCCGCCGACCACGTGGCGAAAGTGTTTGGTCGTCTTTCTCTACCATGGCAGCCATGGCGCGTGAGACGTCTGCGTTTGGCGGACGGTCGACACGCGAGCCAGAGCTGCTTCTAGAGGACTCTGTGGTGCGTGTACGCCAACTGATCCCTTCCCTCCCGCCGTCCGTCGTCGGCGCATTGCAAGCTGATGCGTATGCGTCGCCGAGTGTCGGTGGATTGGACCGTGACACAGACTACGCGTACTGTGCTACGAGTGAATACTGCTACGTATGGCGCTCCTCAAGCGCTACGCCCACATGTTATACCTTCCCTGTACCACCTTCCTCGTCGGCGCAAGCGCTGCCACACTGTGTCTTCCTTCCCCGCCCGCTGAATTCGAGTGCAGAGCCGGCGCTGATGCTGTGTAGCAAACATGGCGATGTCGTGTACTGGGACACAGTGAGTGATGCATTCACGGCGCAGGCAGCGTCTTCGTCGACCAAGACGGCGCACTTGACGCTGAGCGACGGCGAGGTGGTGACCACGGCTACACGTATGGATGCGAGTCAGGTGCTTCTCGGTACATCGCATTCGCGTCTCTTCCGCGTGCATGTATTTGTACTCCATGGCCACTCGCAACTGCAATCTCATCTTATCACGGAATCGCGAGGTCTGCTGGGCCGCTGGTTTGGTGGCTCGCATGCCGCGGGTGATTCGCATGTGGCCGTGCACTCGTTGGTTGTCACACCGCCTACCAGCGATGGTGTAAGTACGGTACTCGCTGTGAGTGCACATGGCATGCAAGTATGGAGTGTCCCGCTGATCAAGGGTACGAGTGCTGCCGGCTCGCCTCGTCTCTTGCATGCGGATACGGGCATCCACAAAACGCTTGCCAGTCGTATTTTGTACGCTCGTGGCCAGCGCTACAGCGCCGCGGATGCGAACCGCATTGCGCTTGCGGATGCCGCGTACATGGCACGCGAACATGCGTGTGTGTTGCTCTATATTGATCGAACGCGTACTTCGGCCTCGTACGGCTTGGCGATTGTCGATATGCCCACCGAGTCAGCGACGACACAGACTGTGCGTCGTCTGCTTCCGCTGCATTACGAGCAGGCCGAGGACCCACGGCCTTCGAGCATGCCACGTCTCCATGTATCTTCGTCGAAGCCGAGCGTGGCGTTTGTGACGTTTAGCGGCGCGGTCGTTGCGCAATTGCTAGCCGATCCATGTGGTTCCGATGAAGTGCTCAAGTTGCGGCATGGCGCCGATCGATTCCTAGGTGCATGCCTGCCGAGCGATACATCACATGTGCGATGGACCGCATTGACGTCCTATAGTGGCTTGCTGTTCCTTGATATCGACGTCGCACGCGCGCAGCAGCATGCCTTGGACGAGGAGCCGACATCGCCACGTGCCTTGGAAGCACAGGCAGAACGATTGCAGGAGCATCTAGAGCGTGCCGTGTGGTTTGAAGACGAGACGAATCCATTGCAGCTCGATGCGCTGCCGGATCATTTGGATACGGTGCTGCTGGAGCAGGGCGTCGTGCGCATGAGTGAGGCCATTCTGGCCAGCCGTTTGACATGCATGCCAGCGACGATTGATTTGCGGACACAGCTCGCGCAGCGTGTTGTGTGTGCAGAGCGCCTTGTCCAGGTGCTGGGCCGGAACGGGTACTGGGCGCCCCTGTCTATCGGCGTGCGTGCCCAAGTGCGTGCCAAGGCTGAGCTGGTAGCCGGCGCAAGCGACATGTGGCGTTTGTACGATGCAGAGACGCGTATGCCCATCTTGGCGTCGGCCATCCAGAGCGTGCTGGGCGACGCACAGGAACGCACATTCTTTGAGCGGGAGTTGGTGCGCATAACCGATGTGCTGGCCGCGATGCAAGCGCAGCTTCGACCGTCGAATGCTGTCGCAGCTACGCGCTTGGTTCTCGCATTGTATTTGGGCGCTATGCGTTTCCGTGCCGAGCACATGGATCTGTACCAACTCCCATCCATCCCGGCCATGTCGCATATCCCATGGTACGCCACGGCGACGTGGACCGACTTGCTGGAGTCGCTCTTTGACGCTGCGCAAACGCGTTTGTCGACGTCCAAGGACCCGCATGTGGAGACAGAGGCACGAACGCAGCTGTGTGCGCTGGCCGAAGGGGCGCTGCATGCGTACGAAGCGCGCCTGGCGTGTCTTGCCCATGACGAAGACGCGCGTCATGCTGTGCAAGCACAGTTTGATCGCACGCGCCCTGCATTGCTCCATCCGCTCTTGCATATGGGACGTGCTGATAAGGCGTATGCACTTGCCGAGCAGCACCGCGACTTTGCGACACTTGTTGCGCTGTGCTTTGATCAGGGGCCTAGTGATACCAAGCGCGCGAAGCATGCGCATCCCTCCACGCCGGCCCTTGCAGCGAAAGATGTGCGTGTCGAGCAGTATTTGGACACGTACGGTATGGCGTTTGCGACGGAGCTGTACCAGTACTATATTCAGCATGGCGCTACGCGCCGTTTGCTGGAGCCGCAACCCGAGCATGCGGCGTTGGTCACGCAGTTCCTTGCGGCACACCCAGAGCATGCACGCATTGCCTGGCTGCATGATGTAGCGCAAGGCTCGTTTGCGCAGGCCAGCGCTACGCTTACGCAGTGTGCGTCGCGAGAGCAGGAAAGTATCGAGGCGAAGCAGCAGTGCCTGAGCCTCGGCAAGTTGATGCATTTGGCCTCGCTTACGTCGATGAACGAGGTGCAGACACAGGCCGAGCAGACGGTGCTCGAGGCCTGGGACGACCAGTTGGATCTCGTGCATGTGCAAACGCGGCTGAAGCGGCGGTGGGACGAGGCGGCTATGCTGCCAGACGCACCAGCGCCAGAAGCGCAGGCAGACTATCTCGTGCAGATGATCGCGCCGCACTTGGGCGAGCAGCGTCCTGCGCTGCGAACCCTGTTTGTCACGCTCGCAGCGCAGGTCGTGCAAGGCCATGTCGTGCAGGCCGAAGACATGATGGAACTGCTCACCCTGCCAGAGCGCGCCTTTGCTGCGCCGCAGGATATGCCTCTGACTGACTTTGCGATGGCCGCGCAGGTCTTGGTACGCACGTCGATGCCGGCAGCCCGTCGCGAGGCTGCGCGTATGATGTTGTGGCGCCGTCTGTATCTGCTCGATGACTGGTACGCACTCAGTGAGACCGCGCAGCTCAGTGATGAGCAAGTTCTAACGCTGGTCCGTGGCACGGCGGCCTTCCATACCGTGAAAAATGTGCTCGCGGACGCTAGTACCGCCTCGCTTTTAGCGTCGCCGGACGTCGTGGCAGCCTCGTCTCTGCCCCCACGCGACGCCCTCTCAGAACGATTCCCAGGCCTGCCGGCCGAGCAACTTGATTCGATGTATACGGCATACGAAGACGAAACGCATGCATTGCAGCAGATGGTCCGTGAGACGAAACTCTCGGCGTTCTTTGCGCGCATCGTCGCACTTTCTGCCGATGCAACAGCGGAGTCTGCGCCCCCCCCTACCTCTGCGGTGGATCAAGAGATGGCCGATGGCAGTACAGACGAAACGATGCCAGGAGCCGCATCCGTGGCGATGTTAACATAGCGCCTATCTACTGTAGCACACGAGCTATTCACTTACATACGCGACCGCTTCATCTGCGTCATTTGCGCCTTGCGTTGGTTTCGTCGCTTGGCCACTTCCTTGCGCTTCGCCTGCTCAGCAGGCGTCAGCTTCTCAAACTTTTCCTTTTGCAGCCGAAGACGCTCTTCCTCCGCTGCCTCCTCCAACTCGGCCTTGCGGTCACGCGTAAGCACCTCTTCCAGCGCGGCCTGGGCATCCGCGCGCGTCTTCTTGAGGGCCGTGTGGGTCTCTGGACGCAGCGCAAGAATCGTCGAGCGGCCGGACGACGTAAGGTACAGCGCATCGACCAAGTCGAGGGCTAGCTTGAGCAGCTCCAACGACGTCTCCGCCTGCCTCTGCGTACGTGGCAGACGCATTGTCAGCTCCAAACGCTCGACGCGCTCCTGATCCAAGTGTGGGTACAACGGGCGCACATGTGGCTGGTCCGTGAACACTAAACTTTCCAAGAAGAGGCCTGCAGGGCCATTGAGCGCCTCTGTAATGCCAAGAGCACGACGCTGGTCGTCACCACGTTGGCCCACTTCGCCGAGCCACCGGTCAGTAATGTTGCCTGACTCGGAGGCAATCGCGAACCGTTCGTCCAAATCACGCGACGCACTAGCATTCGCAGCGTCAGCAACTCGCGCAAACAGCATATCGTAGCGGTCGTAACGCACTTCGCGCAGCTTGTACTTGCTAATCAAGGCAAACACACCACCATTCACACGCGGCGCTTTGGGCAACGTAAAGGTCAGTGTGACATTGTCCGAAGCGAGCCAGGGCCGCGCAGGTAGCATGAGCATATCATACAGCATAGATACGAGAATGCGGAGCGGATCTTGCCATGGGCGCAGTGATACCGTGGCATGCAGCGTATCCACGCCTCGGCGGCCTGTTGCGAAAAGGCACGCCTCATCCGATCCGTTCCACATGAGCTTAGGCTCCGCAGACGTTGCATCAATGCCGACCTGCGCAAACTCCTTACGCAGATACTCTCCATACACCTTACTCCATGCAGCCATGCGCTGCTTGTTCAGCAAGTGGCCCAGCGTGGCAAAGACGATGTACACGACCACGACGCCCAGTACAATACCCTGAATGCGGAACAGCTTGGGATGGAAAGCCAAGTCAATATTACCGATTTTTCCGGTCCACAGGGCAGGGCCCTTGTCCTTGTTCAGCTCCATCGCAGGACGCCATACTTGCGACACGCGCTGCAAAAACCTTTCCATGCTCAGCGTCGTCTCGAAGCTCTCCACGTTGCAGTGCTGGTTACGCGACGACACTGGGACGCACGTGGCATCGGCCGAACACGTGGAGGCACGTACGCAAGGGGACACTGCAGGCGCGAGGCGAGGTCAGGGAAGCTGACAGCCAGGCAGTCATCAAAGCCCCACCCCGCCCGTCGTGGCGGCGGGATAGTCATAGAGAGCGAGCGGGCGTAGATGGCCTACGCACATAGAAATGCTATATGATTTGCTATGGATCATGGTACATAGAAAGGCATGGACTGCCTAGATCCCTTTCACCCATGACATAAGCTAGGTAGCGTTGGGCTTGCTCGCTGGCCCCGGCGGCCAGGCGCCTGCCGGAAAGTGGAGTAGGGCTGTCGCGCCACCCATCCTCTCCATCCTTTCCACGACCACAAGCTGGACACTGGTGGTTCTGTCCCAGTACCAACGTCATTAGCTTGTATTTCTCGTTGTTGGAAAAGCGTCGTGTCTTTGCTATTCACAGCCTCGGGCCGTCTCTGGACTGATAGCATTGGCTCATTTTGGCGCTGACATTCGTGTGCCAACTACGTGACGCTGCCCTGTGAAGCAGACCATTTTCACTACTGAACTACATCAACGCCATGGACACTCAAGACGTTGGCATGAGCGTTGCAGACCCTCTCACTGCCGATGAGGGCGTGCATGCGCTTGCGCGTATTAGCGTCATGGACCACAAAGCGTTCGCGGACAAGTACCTTGCGGACTTGGGGCAGGAGGAGGCCGATTTTCAGGTATGCCACTGGCCGATCAAGTCATGGCATGCCCTGGACAAGCGCATCACAGGCCCCGAGTTTGAGTGCGGTGGCCATCGCTGGCGCATTTTGCTTTTCCCCTTTGGCAACTCGAATGGCCAGCCGTACGATATGGTGTCGGTGTACTTGGACTACGCGGACAACCAGAATACACCGGAAGGATGGCATGCATGTGCCCAGTTCGCTCTTGTAATCTCGAACCCGAACGATCCGACATTGTTCTCGACCAGCCAAGCCCACCATCGTTTCACGGCCGAGGAGATGGACTGGGGTTTCACGCGGTTCAATGAATTCCGTAAGCTCGCTGTGCCGCTGGACAACCGTACGCGTCCCATCATTGAGGATGATCAGGCGGTCGTGTCGGCGTACGTGCGTGTGCTCAAGGACCCCACAGGCGTGCTGTGGCACAACTTTATCAACTACGACTCGAAGAAGGAGACGGGCTATGTCGGTATGAAGAACCAAGGTGCGACTTGCTATATGAACTCGCTCCTGCAGTCGCTCTACTTTACGAACTACTACCGCCGTGCTGTGTACCAGATCCCAACGGAGAATGATGTGCCCACGGACAGTGTCGCATATGCTCTGCAGCGTGTGTTTTACCAGCTGCAGACGTCCAACTTGCCTGTGGGAACCACGGAACTGACCAAGTCCTTTGGCTGGAAGTCGCTCGACTCGTTCCTGCAGCATGACGTGCAGGAATTTAACCGTGTCCTTCAGGAGAAGTTGGAAGAAAAGATGAAGGGCACAGCAGCGGACGGCGCCATCACGAATTTGTTTGTTGGCAAGATGAAGAGTTTCCTGCGATGCGTGAATGTAGACTTTGAATCGTCGCGTTCGGAAGACTTTTATGATATCCAGCTGAACGTGAAGGGTATGTCCAACCTGGAGCAGTCGTTCTGGGACTATATCCAAACAGAAATGCTGGAAGGCGACAACAAGTACTTCGCAGAAGGATACGGCTTGCAAGACGCAGAGAAGGGCGTGATTTTTGAAAAGTTCCCGCCTGTGCTGCACCTGCAGCTCAAGCGCTTTGAATACGATATGGAGAAGGATATGATGGTCAAAATCAACGATCGACATGAATTCCCACTGGAAATTGATTTGAAGCCGTTCCTGATCAAGGAGGCACAAAGCGAGCCTTGGGTGTACAAACTGCACGGTGTGTTGGTGCACTCAGGTGATTTGCACGGCGGCCACTACTTTGCCCTTATCAAACCAGAGCGTGACAGCAATTGGTTCAAGTTTGATGATGACCGTGTGACACCGGCCACATTGAAAGAAGTGCTGGAGGACAACTTTGGTGGGGAGATGATGCCGACCAACGGAGCGCAGCGTCAGTTCGCGGCCACTGCCCCAGTGCGCGCTATGAAGCGCTTCACCAATGCGTATATGCTTGTATATGTGCGTGAGTCGAAAATGGACTCGGTGCTCAAGCCTATCCAAGAGGTGGACACGCCTATGCACCTGCGCAATCGACTGGAGGAAGAGCGTGTTGAGATGGAGGCGCGTCGTCGCGAGCGGGAGGAGCAGCATTTGTACTTGACGACCAAGGTGGTGACAGAAGAGCTTATCCGACAGCACCAGGGCTTTGACTTGGCTACGTTTGACGATCGCATGGGCCGCCCGACCGAGTTGCCGACGTTCCGTGTGTTGAAGAACGAGCCGTTTGTCAGTTTCAAGACACGCTTGGCACAGCACTTTAATGTACCGGACCACTTGATGCGGCTGTGGGTGCTGGTGAACCGCCAGAACAAGACTGTGCGTCCTGATGCCGTGGTGCCGGAGAACGATCCGAACTTAACGCTGGAGATGGTACGTGATCGAATGGCGTCTAGGCAGCACGACCTGCGTCTCTTTGTCGAGATGCTGGACCCCGATAGTTTGGCCATGACGCATTTCGACGCGTCGACGCCTGGCAATTCGATCATGATCTTCCTCAAGTACTTTGATACGTCGCGGCAGACGTTGTTGGGCGTTTCGCGGATGTATGTCCAGCGCCAGATGAAAGTTGCGGATCTTGTGCCTACCATCAATGAGCTGATGCGCTGGCCACCGACGACGCAGGTCAAGCTGTTTGAAGAGATCAAGCCAGGTATGATTGAGTTGCTGAAGCCAAAGGCAACATTTGTGCAAAGTGAAATCCAGGACGGTGATGTGATTTGTTTCCAGATTGAGCTCTCGGAGAAAGACGCTAACGACTATGAGATGCAGCAGCTGTACTCCAATCCCATCCAGTTCTACGACTTTTTGCAGAACCAGGTGCGGCTTTTGCTCAAGCCGCGCTACGAGGATGCACCGTGCCAAACGGAATTTGAGCTCACGCTGAGCAAGAAGATGACATACGACATGCTGGCTACCAAGGTCAGTGAGCGCCTAAAACAGGATCCATTGAAGCTCCGGTTCACGGCGGCGAACGGCCCGAATGGCACGCCCAAGACGGTGCTGAAACGCTCGGCGAACCAGACAGTGAACGAGATTATTCAGACGAGCTATCTGCAGGGCTCTGCGAGTCTGTTGTACTATGAGATGCTCGATGTGAGTATTATTGAGCTCGAGACGAAGCGTTCGCTCAAAGTCGTGTGGATGGGTGCATTCAACAAGGAAGAGGCGCAACCGCATTCGTTCCTGCTGCCCAAGACGGCGACGATCCATGAGCTAAGTGACCAGCTGGCGAAGCTCGTGACGCTGCGTCCTGAGGAGACAGGCAAGATCCGCATCTTTGAGTCAGCGGCGCTGGGCAAGCAGCAGCGTGAGCTGCATTCGTTCGATACAATCAACAGCATTCCCGATGGGACGGAGCTCTTTGCCGAGGAAATCTGGCCTGAGGAGCTGGCGCTCGGCGAAGACAAGAAGCTCGTGCAAGTATGTCACTTTACGAAGGACATTGCGCGGACGCATAGTGTGCCATTCCGCTTTGTGCTGAAGCAGGGCGAGCGTTTCGCCGAGACGGCTCAGCGACTGCAGCAGCGTATGGATGTTCCAGAGAAGGAGTTTGCCAAGTACCGCTTTGCGCTCATCCAACTGAGCCAGTTCAAGCAGCCGACATACCTCGAGGATGATGACGTGCTGTTTGAGCACAAGTTCCAGCCTGACGACATTCTCGGTGTGGACCACATCGATAAGACAGGCCGCTCCAACCGGTACAATACATCAGCGGCCCAGGACCGTGGCATTCGTATTCGCAGCTAACGCGATGAGCAGGGTATACAAATTAAATACCTGCTACTGTCAGGCAGGGTAGGCTCTACATAGAAAACCAAGACACTTGGTACGTGGACCTTGACTATGGCAATGTGGCTTGCAGATGCGCCTGCACCGACGCACGGAAGACGGCGCTAATATCAGGGCGTTCGCCAAAGTACGCGAGAAGCAGCGCAGATGGCAGCGTAAAGGTCGGCAGGCCTTGGCGAGCTGTCGGCCCACTCTTCACCGTGCCCACTTCCTTGCCGTTGATCTGCAACGAGAGCATGTACATAGACGACGCATCACGCTGGACAATCAAGTCGAGAGTCTGGCCGCGCGAGATCTTGGAGCGTGGGAACAGCCCTTTAAAGTCGCGCAGGTTGTGTGCGAGCATCTCTTCCGCCTCGTCGGTCATTTGGTACACGTTTTCGGGCGTACGTGCATCCTTGGCACGCGTATTGATCGTGCGCACAAAGCCATCTCGCAAATGATTCAAATCCGTGGCACGGACTGGCACCACGCGAATGGCACAAGTCACACCTGACTCAAGCCATGAACGAACCTGCTCCTCCAGCGGTACCTCGCCCATTTTACACTGCGCCTGCGCAGCTGGGAGTGCATCTTCTTCAACATATAGCCCGGCGACGTAGACGTACATGTTCAAGAACGTCACAGTACGCACGCCCATACCTACCAGGCGCAATGGCTTGCCATGCGTATTGATGCTTGTCTCATCCGCTTGGAGATACGCGTGCATAGGCAAAGACGACTTGGTCTCGGTGACCATGCGGTCCATCGGCGCCTCCAAGACCAAGGGCGAGGTCGTCATCCACGCAGCCACGCCCAGTCCAAGAGCTACGGTCGGCCAAACCCATGCACGAGTATGCATCGCAACAGGCCGTGTGGACAAAAAGCGGCTACCAAGCCGAGACGAACGGCTCTGCGTCCCACGAATCGCACGTATAGATCGCAAGAGAGACATGGTGGGAAGCACGCGTTCCTCGTCACGCACGGCCGCCGGGGGGTCTCGGTGGCTGGCCACATCGCCACGTGGCTCAAGTGTGCACGGGCGTAGACGTTCGCTGAGGTGGAAGACGATCTCGCGTTGCCTCCATCCTTGGACACGCGATGCCTTTCACACCCGATTCGGAACTGGACTTGGCGTTCTCAGCGGACCTTATCCCCGCGGAACTCAACGAAAAGGTGGCGGCCCACCAACTTCACGTACGTATGCAATGTGCTCATGTATGAGATTCGTCCTCTGGCCTCCACGGACTATGCGCGTGGCCATATCAAGGTTCTGGGCTCACTCACGACGGTAGCAGACCCTGGCGAGGCTGCATGGAAAGAGCGCTTTGAGGAGCTAGCACGCTCAAAGTCGTCGGCAAGCAAGTACTTTGTCGTGGTGATCGTGTCCAAGGAGACCGACGAGCTTGTGGCTACAGGCACGGTCTTCTTGGAGCCCAAGTTTCTACGCTCGCTTGCTTCAGCAGCGCACATTGAGGACATTGCTGTGGATAATTTGATGCAGGGCAAGGGACTTGGAAAAGTCCTTATTGCGACGCTCACGGCACTGAGTAAGCAGGCAGGCGCGTACAAGACGCTGCTGGACTGCAGTAACGACAACGTAGCGTTCTACGAGAAATGCGGCTACGAAGTGAAGGGCGTCGAAATGGCCAAGTACAATGTGTAGACAGGTAGTTATTTTACCAAGAAATTGTGGACGTCGCGCATAAATTCGTTGGGCTTTTCCGCATGACACCAATGGCCCGTTGGCATCGTGGTAAGTTCCATGTGGGGGAAGTATGCCTTGCAGAGCGGGAGATTGCGGCGGTTAATGTACTTGCTCTTCTCGCCCTTGACAAAGAGGGTGCGACCCTCCCACTGCCTCTCTGGTGGTGACGAATCGTCTTTCGGCGGTGCATACGGGAAATAGCCAATCTCGGACAATGAGCGAATGAGAATGTCGACGGGGATCCGGAAATGCATTGCATCACCATCGCGTTCCAGGTTGGTCAGTAGGAACTGGCGCACAGACAAGGTGGGTTCGATTTTTTGGAGGACTTTGTCCGCCTCACTGCGTGACTTGACGTTCATCTTGTTGATCTCGGCCATGCAGCGTGCATACTCCATAAACTCAGGCGAGATAGGCCCTTCGGCTGGCGACATGTCCACGCTAATCAGGTGCGACAGCATGTGGTCCGGTAGGTTGGGGTCCAGGGCCATGGCCATCACTACTTTTCCACCCATGGAATGGCCAATAAGAGTCATGTCTGAAAGGTTTTTATCGTCAAAGAACTTGCGCACATCACTGGCCATATCGAGGTACGACATGCTTTCGGCATGAGGCGACATGCCGTGGTTACGCAGATCCAACGTATACACAGGCACACCAAAGCTCTTAGTCATGGATTTCGCCAGGGAGCGCCAGTTCTGCTTTGAGCCATACAAGCCATGACAAATGACGAGGCCCTTAGTATGTTTAGCGACAGCTTTGTGTGACGCCGGAGGCTCAAAGCATTCGTACGCCAGCTCCAGTGGTTCCCGTGCACGTGTACTCTGGTGGAACAGACGAGTAGATGGCTGGACGCGGGGAAGCGTACGCCAAGGAGCCAACCGGAAGCACGACAGCATTTGAAGGCGTGGATGGTGGATAGAGAGGACGCACACGCGAATCAGGTGGAGGTAGCAAACAGGTGGGACAGACTTGAAGGAAAATCTACATACATTCAATAAGGCGGACCTACAAAGGGTACGAAGTAGCACCTCTACTAGTGCGAGACCATAGCAAGGTAGAAAAGAAAACATGTACTGTGAAAGTCCTTACCACACAGGGTCGATACCGGTGCACTCACGGCAGTAGGTGTAGTGCTCAGCACTCTTGTCAGTGCAGCCAGCCAGGCCGAAACGCATGAAGCAGTCGACGTACGACTTGGCACACAGGTAGCACACATCGTTGGTGTCACGCTGAGCCGACTCGTTAGCGAGAACGACGGAAAGCAGGGCAAAGAGAGTGAATAGGGCCAGGTAGAACTTCATGGTGTTGAATGGGGAAGCGGAACGCGGCCGCGGCGTGCTATCGGAGCGTGCCTCTTTCATCACGTTCCACATCGGCCGAAGAGGCACCCAACCAGAAATAGAGGGTCTTAGCGCTCCAAAGTACCTTGATTGGTATCTGCACGCGGAGTGGCCCTGAAGCGTGACAATCGAACGCAGCATCGTGCCCTGAACGTAGGCAAAAGTCCGATGCTTGAACCTAGGAGAGACGCCAGTGCGTCTAGAGGGTCATCCATAGATAGCGTGTCTCGCCACCGAGCGCCATCGGAGACGTCAAGAAGCGGCACCAAAGCTCTTCAGGCACCAGGTGTGTATACCATACCCTCCGAACATGTGGACAAGATTGTCTCTCGACCTACCTCGCGGCAAAGCTCTGTAAATACCGTTGTCCGACCGGGCCATATACCCCGCGCTGAGCTGAAAACTGTACATACTTACACCGGCGCCAACGGCAACTTGACTGTGCAGTACGTATTAAGGAACGACTGACAGTAGCTTGCATACACCACCCCAACTTTCACCGACATACATGGGTGGCTCAAAGAAACGTGGCCGTGGTGCTATGGTCGGCCGTGTTGTATTACGCTGCTCGGAAAAGACACATGCTACAGAGATTCGTATTAAGCTGAAATCGGTGGTGTCCATCTTAGCGCCTAAAAATACACAGGCAACACAAGGGGACACACCGAACTTTGCTGGCATGGCGCCGTCCACAGTCTCCACTTCCGCTCGTGAACTGGTACTAGTCCAGCTGGAAAAGCGTTTGGAGCCAGGCACAGCGCTGTACCGATCGCGGGAAGGTGTTCCACCGCAAAAAAATCTATCGGGGAGATTGGATCGCGCGGGTTTTTACGAATGGATGTTTCACTTTGATATCCCTGCAGAAAGCCCAGGCAAAAGCTCACTGCCTGGCGGGTTTCCAGGAGTCGGTACCTACTATCCCTCCAGTTACGTGTTGGAAAGCGATCCAATCAAAGGCAAGAAGGAAGAGTGGGCGAGCGTGAAATGGTACCTGAAACTAACGGTTGAACGCTCAGGACTCTTTCGTTCGAATGATCGCATGCTTGTACCGTTCATCTATCTTCCGCCACCACCAGAGACGATCTGCCCGCTTCTTCTCCGCCGCCAAGCGCTCTCGGCCCAAATCCAAAGTGTGATCCAAAGGACTCAGGGCACGATGACATTGCCGCCGAATTCCGTTGAGCCTGCAAGCAAATGGAAGACGCACCATGTCGTACTGAGGCAGGAAGCCCTGGGCAAGCCTATCAAACGCTCGTTGGTCGATAAAATGTTTGGGTCGAACAAGCAGAAAGAGGAGCGGTGGGCGATTTCCCTGCCGGGCAATCCGATCTCCGTTTTTGCACTGCGCTCAGTCGTGCCATTTGTCCTTACGTTGGTACACAGTGCTGGGATGCCCTTAGTCGTTCATCCCATGGTATCGCTTGTGCAAAAAGTGCATCTGCGTGCCCGTTCCAACGCAGCTCATACCCAGTACATTTGTCATGCGAAAATGCAGACGATGCCGCTGAGTAAGGGAGGACTGCAGCAATGGTTCGGATGGATCCAGTTCCCTGGCTGGTGCAGTCCGTCGTTCGATAATCACCTGCTAGGCTTGGAGTACTTTTTGCAGATCAAGCCCCTGCGTACGCCTGAAGCGCATGTGTTGCAGAATATTCCGATTGGATTGTACTGTGCGCCTCCCAAACTCATTCAGAATGCGGCTGCGAAAGCCTCGACGACGTCTGCAGCGTCAGACTTTTCATCTTGGACGTCCCCCCGGTCGTCACAGGTTACCATGCCATCAAGACTGACAAGCGATAATGAGAGTGTGGCTAGTACAGGCGCGAGCTCGTCCCGCGTGTCCGTATCGATGCCTGCGTCGCCCGCGTCGTCGCGACGAACTTCTCAATCGGCTCTGCGGACGTCGCGGCCTGTCCCACCCATTCCAAGCGATACATCACCAAGGAACGACACAGAGGCCACTGAGGCAGGAGGTATATCTACACCAGAGACAGCTGGGAATGATCTCCCCGCACCATCGTCTATGTTGCAATCGGTGGCGACGTCAGAATCACTTCAGCGACCTGTTCCTCCCTTGCCCACCGAGTCCGACACGCCTGAGACGACAAGCGTCAGTGACATTGCATCCATGGCTGGTAACGGCGCCGATGTGGATACGACTAGTGAAACGTCGAGTGCACATTCGCGATACGGACAGATAGCGACCCAGCCGGTGGATGAGACAGCAATGCTGCCGCCGATTCCTGACTACACACCTCGCGACGGTCTGATCCATGACGCTGGGCCATTGACACAAGAGCAAGAGCAGGCATGGACTATGGATATTTTGGCGAATGCCTTTAGTGAGGACGAAATGGCAGCAGGCTTTGACTTGCCGCCTTCCTACTTTGAGGCGACAGGCATCCGGGACAATGAAGAGGCCTAGATGTAGATCACGTGCATAAGAGCAAAGAGGGAATAAACAGACCTCTCGATGGTCTTCCGCATACTACGACATGCACCCTAGTCAGGCGCTGGCAGCACGCTGCTAGGGCCGCTAGGATAGGCTTGCCTAGTATCCCCATTTCTTCTTTCGATGTGATTTTCAGCTCAAAGGCCGCTGATACTCGCCTTCATGCTGCATTGCAGTCCTGCGAGTGGGAAGGTCCGCGTACGCCTCTTTTCTTGTTTCTGTGTAGAGACAGCTAGGCATTTGCGCAACGAATGGGATATGTGTGCATAGTACCGGTATGGTACACGTTCTGAGGATGCAGCACCTCCTACAGCTCTTGCTGGGCGAGTGGCGTAAGGCCCTGAGGTTGACCTGCACCAGAAATGACTCTTACGCAGTAGCCTGGTATGGTGCTTTCCCCGACTATGTCGCTCGGAGACACATGCTAGGAGTGCGAGCGGAGATTGGAATCAGGTCTACTTGATGGAGCCTGTATATTTAGAGCGTGGTAACTATGTGCAGATTTGACACCCTGATGTTGTTCAGATGCATAGTTGACGAGGCATTGCCTCCCAAGAAACAGGTCGCTTGGGGAACTAAGCTTGAGTGCAATCAGTGGCGCCTCTATGTAGGGAAAACTCGACGCGAGACTACTCTTGAGCTGAGGATTTCATCCATCGAACAATGTGTAAGATGTACCATAGCAAATTAGGTGCCTATGTGAAAATTGGACTAAAAATAGGCCATGTCTGGGACTTGAATCGTCAAGTGCGGAACAGACAATACTAATTCCTGGCATTCGTCTTAAGATCGTTCTTGAGCTTTCGATCACCCATGCCGAAGGTTTGGCCCAACAGATGCACGATAGCAGCACGCAATGAATCAAGGCCCTCAAGATCCACGCGGGGGTCTGACAATGGGTTGCTCACTGTCTCCATCTTGAAGCCATTGTGGAAAGGCTTGCCAGCCATACGGTCTTCAATGAAGAAAAGAATGTTGGCGTTGTTTAGTAGCTCTGTTGTCAGGTGTTCCATGTACGGGTCAGTATTGGCCGAGAACAGAACATCAGCGCCATGCGACGACCAAGCATGGGCCGCAGCAAGTGCGTCATCATATGGAATGACTTCATCCACTTTACCGTGGAACATCCACACAGGCGCTTTAGGCGTTTCGTCGGAATTCAACCCCATCGTCAGTTGCGTAGTGATATTCTTGACGATAGGCTCATGCATCAAGTCAGCACCACTCGTAACGAAGTAGTCTCCTAGGAAATTGATACCAGGGTATTTGAGAAGAATATCCACCATGCAATGGCTGTTAGTAAAATCAATCGCCTCAAATCCGTTTGCCTTAATAATGTTTTGTTTACGTGCCCAGTCTCGGACATTCTCATATGCGTTCATGACGCCCACTACACCACCGATAGCGAATCCTGAAAAGAACCCTCCATTCAGGTAATAGACGGTCCCGGTCAAATTCGCCGGCGTACCACCCATCGCAAACCCGACAAAATTCAACTCAGGCGCGTAGGTACTATGCAGTGCAGCCGTCCACCCGGAGGCAATAGCACCGCCCGAGTAGCCATATTCCACAATCTTGGTGTCCTTGGACAGACCAGCCTTGTCAAAGTTGAGGGTGGCTCGGATGCCGTCCAACACCATGCGTCCCTCCATTCGGCCAACTGCAAAGGCACGAGATGGTCCTTGATAGTCTGGGATGACGATCGTGTAACCCTTGTCCAGAAGGATAGAGAATAAAAGCTGCTGATAGGCCATAGCAGGATCAGTCAAGAGCTTCGAACCAAGGCGCATAGAGTACGACGGAGCGCATTGCGGTCCACTAGCGTCGATATAGGGGGTGTAGGAAACAAGTTGATCCTTCTTGGCATTTTGAGGGATCAAAACAGTGGCCACCGTGACGTTGTCGTCTGATTCATATGTACCAGACGTACGGTATAAAAGCTGGTAGGCTTGAAGATTGTACTTGTCCACATTTAGGAAGGCCACATCGACTTGGCGTGAGCGAAGAATTTCACCATGCTCTTTGGACTTCCAGCCGTTAGGGGGCGTATAGAAAGGGTCCTGTTGCGGGAGGGGAAGGGAACGAGCGTGCAGATGATGTTGTTGCCGCGGAGAAATAGTAGCAGAGACCAATGCCACCAATGAAAGAAGTAGGATAGCCAAGTAAGAGACTCGCATTCTGAAGAGCGAAAGAGCTACGCTCTCGTTCTATATGTACTCTCGCCATCGGAGAACTTGCCTCACAAAACCGTCGATCCCACTGTCGGCTATATAAGGAATGCCACCCTTAGATTGCATATTAGAAGATCTCCAAGCCTGATTGATAGATTGAGATCCTGCCTCATGCAAGGAAAAACCATTCTGCGTAAGAGGGGATTAAGCTTAGTGTGCATCCCCGCACATTCATAGACTATTATTTCAACATTGGTCGAATGAAATCGAGAAAGCCGGTTCAATGCAAGAGGCCCCGGTTTCACTTAACGAACCTCCACTTTCCATCTCAAATTGAGCCACTAAAAATGCAACGCAATGTATGTAAGGGTTCTGCATTTGCTAGATTGCCAGGATCTACATGGACATATGACAAAGTCTAGTGACCCCAACGAAATGCACCGAACGTGTTATTTACTCACCAATCACACCATTTTCGTATAACACAACCAGATTATTAGTCAACAGAATTGACTGGCTGCTTCAAGCAGATGCTCAACTTAGTGGCGCACAGCAAATAAAAATCTCTGCAAGAGATTTTTATAAGAGTGCATATGAAGAAAGTATGTGAAAGCCAAAAGAATGCTGCTGCACATGAATGTCATTATGCTTTAACGCTGAGTGAAAGCATAAAAGGGGATAACAGGACACGAACTGAGACACGTTTTTCCTTACTAAAGGTTTCGGCGACTTTCAATGTATTTTAGGAGACTTTCAAGCGGCATCCATATAATTTACGTCAACAGAAGTTCCGCAAAACAGGGGAGGAAATCTCTTGCACGTGCTCCAATCAATTGTAGATTATCACTATAACTAGAGACATAAAACCCTTGCCTTCTTTGTCGACCCCGCGTGCGCGTATGGGAGTGTGAAACTTTCGCTTGGGCCATCTGTACTGGGTGTCGTAATTAGTAAAAAGTACCATACAGGAACCACAATGGAACCGTATTAGGTAAATTTGTCCATTAACCAATCCTATATGGGTCATGGTAGCATAAAAATAGAACAGTTTGGGTCAGGATAGCAAAATTATTGCTACACTGGGGTGAATAGGCAACGTAATGCAGGCAGTTTCAGATGTTGAGATTATAAAGGAATGAAGGATGGCGCTTCGAAAGGTATAAAAAGCAGCACTGTTTGCATTGGCCTTACCCACCAACAAGAAGAACTTTTTTTCTCTTAACAATGTACAAGTCGGTCGCCCTCTTTGTTGCTGCTCTCGCCGCTGTTGTGGTTGCCGACGACCGTGTCTCGGTCAAGGGCTATACCGCTAATGTTAAGGCCTCGGACATGAGCTGCAAGTTCGGCAGCGGTGACATCCTCAAGGCCTGCGGCAACTGCGCCAAGAGCATTGCTGAGTGCGCCACTGCCCCGAACGCCTCTGCCGCTACCACGGTGTGCATCAAGGACATTTCCAGCTTCGCCAATGACTGCGGTGGCTGCGCTGTCGACATTCTTGAGTGCCTGTAAACGCTTCAGGCTCCAGGGATGAACCCTAGTGACCGAAGAGACGCTTTTATTATATATGGAAATATAGAGCGTGTCCTCGAGGAATAGTTTCGTTGAATAAGTTATGTTGCAATATTATTTCTTCAAGTTTATAGAATTCGTTGTGTGATATTATTCGAAAGTACGTGTAGAGATATCATACAAGGACAATAGTCATAATCCTATGTGACTTGGTTCTTCTACAGAACGAATGTGAAAAGGCTAAGACTACAAGTACAGGGCATAGAACAATGCTGTAATAAGCCACGGAGTAGGAAGAGACATCGTAAGTGAAGTACCCGAATTGTGGGTGGGCTTCTGCGTGGTAGAGGAGGAAGGAGATGCATCTACACTGGTTGTATCATTGGCATTCTTGTTAGGCTTAGATTGCGGAGAAAAGCCACCGACATCGGTCTGGTTGCTTAAAGTCACAATGTCCATCTTGGATCCAACCTGAATCTGGAAGTTTGCCATGTCAGGCACATTGTTTGCATCAATATTTCCGGAAATGTAGTCATCAAATGTGGAATAAGTAGGGCCATCTTCGGGGTAAGGATTGGTGGCATTAAAGCAGGCAGAAAGAGGGACGACATGGGGGAATGCATCCTTCACTTTCGGATACTCTTTCATAAATTCCGACATAGTATACTTATTGAGCTCGTGATTCAAGACAACAATACCATGCGTATCCGTTTTCTTACTAGAGGCGAGGCTGACAATCTTGTCGTAGTTTGAGTCGATCTTCTGAGTCGAAGAGCCGCCTTCAGGCTGAATGTCCCAATCATCAGTGTCCTGATCCCAAATGATAGTGCGAAGACCGAGAGCAGTAGCAATTGCACGAACACGATCATCGACATCACCATAGGGTGGGCGCCAGCAACGGGGGGTAATGCCAATTACGTCCTTGATGACGCGCATCGTGTAATAAAGCTCGGCAAATACATTTTCATCTTCCAGTGTCGTAGTGTAGTGATGAGACCACGTATGTACGCAGATATTATGGCCATCAGCAAGACCACGCTGCGCCTGGAGTGGATTGTCCATGACATTTCCGCCAATATAGAACATGGTGGCCTTCAGTTTCTGCTGCTGCAAAAAGTCATAAAACTCGTTGTGTCCACAATCGGGTCCATCGTCAAATGTTAGACCCCAAGTACCAGGCTCAGGGCAAGATACAATATCTTCACTTAGGCCATCCGCTTTGGGCTTGGTGCATGTAGTGGCTGTCCACCAGCAATCAGGATCTTTGTCACTGTACGAATCGTTCTGGCTGTCCGAAATGCCTTGGTTTCCATCGGTCCCCTCCTTTACCTCGACATGGTTGGGGATGATGCCTGATGCCCTAATGTCATTCCAAACCGAACGAGCTGTATCGTCGTTGTCCATAATGTAGGCAATCTCGTTCGACTTTGGGTATGCATTATGAAAGTTATGAGACTGAGGGAGAGAGTATCCATTGCATTCCTGTGTTCGGTCTTTGATAGATGCAAACGAAGACTCATTGGGCGTATCAGACCGAACATGAATCGAGCGGTTGTGTAGACGAAGGCTGCGACGGTATGCCCTTACTTCTTGGTTTTGCACTTCAGGAAATCCATGCCCTACATGCGCAAATGCATTCGACGTGAGGAGAGAGAAGCCCGCCAAGACGAAAGTAGCCGTGACTTGCATACTGATGGGATAAGACGAACATTTCTTTTCCGAATTCTCTATTTAGACCATAGAAGTGTTTATTTTTTCGATATGCAGGTCAACCCCTTGTAGCGATCTCCGTACAAAAGGTGAGTGATTTGTCCGTCAAATTTGCACGCACAACTCTACGTATGAAATTGTGGAGAAGGGGCCCTCAGAATAGCATTTTATTTGCTGCTTCCTTGTATTCGTGCGTATTGGTGGCTGGTTCGGTATTGCAGTTCCGAAATATCGGAAACCAAACGCGTACATAGTGAACTAAGTACAGCGCGAGGCCAAACAGAGAAGTAGGCCAGGGATCGGGGATTGTTACCCAATGGCATCGCAACACGAAGATACGGCACCTGCCTCTCGTTTGGTAGACCCGACGTAGCGTTCAAAATTTCTTTGCTGTGCTCAAGACGCGTGATAGAGCAGCACGGCCCTGTCAACGGGACGTGGTAGGGCTGTCGATCCCTCCATAACAATTTGGTCCTGAGAGTGGCATGTTCGCACTGACGTCGGGCATGGAAGACGTTACGTGCAGCCTGTGTCACTAAAAGAAAGAACAGTACGAAGACGATATGATTATGAAAGGGCCAAGCGTGCACAATACAGCATACGCGCTTGATCAACAATAATAAGGGAGAGTTACTGACCGTTGCCCGAGCCACTGATGCAGATGCCAAAGCCAAACACGTTGTCATTGCCGCAATGCATACCGCCAGTGGTCTGCGTTGCCGTGACAGTGACCTTGGAACCGCTCACGGTCGCCGTCACGACCTGGGGCGAGGTAGATGTGGGAGCTTGGGATGACTTGGCCTTGGAGGACGTGGACGAAGCTGGCACTGTGATCGTAGTCGAGGCGGTCTTGGACCCCGACGACTTGGGTGTAGTGCTGCTGCTGTGGGCAGGCACGACAGAGCCCTTGGTAGTCGTCGACGTTGCAATGGGCGCTGAGCTAGCCGCTGGGGTCGAGGTTGCATTTGCAGAGGCATTGGCCTGTGTAGCAAAACCAAGACGGTTGTTGTCCTGATCAAAGATCACAGATGCCATTTGGAAAAAGACGTCACCAACGACCCAGGCATCCAGAGGCATATCGTCCTGACCCGACACGGACAGCACACATTGGCCCTTGTAGGTGCCCCAGTTAGTCTGGTCTTCGCCCAGGGTAAAGTTCTTTCCGGCGTATGTCATTGTGATTTTAGGGGGCTTATTGCAGTCGTACACGCCACTCAAAGTGCCCGCGATATCCTTCACAGTTACTCCCGGAAGGGTCTCAAGGAACTTGCGCACCTGCGAAGTAGGGCCCTGAATCAACGTTGTGCCAGAGTCAACGACCGACAGGATCTTCTGGCCGTTGATATACGCAGGGGCTACGTAAAAGCCCAGTTCCGGCTTGTAATCCTGCCAGACAATGTCGCCAGTGAACTGCGACTTGTCAATACCACCGATGTACAGCGTTGATCCATTGCCGGGCTTGAGAGTGAACTGAAAGATGCCCTGGTCCACGGCCTTTTGTTCGCGAAGCACCGTGAAAAACGGCTTGTACTTCAACGGGAAAGCCTGAATCGCCGGGTACGCCAAACCGCTAATACCCTGGTTCGGACGCTCATTCTCAAAAATGTATTCAATATCAGACAAGCCAATGGCGATATCGGTACCATGCGCCGAGGCAATACCAAAGTCGTCCGTGTAGATCGTGCCGTTGGCGGCCGTTCCATCGCCGTAGAGGGCCTCAAACTTATCGCTAGTCTTCTTCGATGTCTTGGATTTGGAGGGGTCGTAGGTGCCTGGGTTCACAAGCGTATCAGACGAGCCGGTATCAAAGTCAACATAGATTGACTGCAGCGGTGAACCATAGGCGAGCTGGCCAGCCCACTCGACTTCATGCTTGATATCAACCAGGTCCACGGCGCCAGACGCACGCTTCTGAAGACCAGCAGAGCTCTGAAGTGGGTGGGATTTGCCTGTGTTGCGTTGGTAGTTCTGCAGAGCGTGCGCGTACTTGCGGTTGATGTGATTAGTAACCTTCGCGAGCTTCTGGACGCGCAACTCGCGCGACTGATCAGCACGACGCTGCAGATCAATCGAAAACGTGCCGGCGTGCGTAACAGGCGCCATGGAGGCCGAAGCAATTAAGCCAGCGATAAAAGCAATGCCTAGCTGCATGGTGCTTGAGTATGGGGGATTCTGTTGTCATGGTCAGCCTAGACATATATTGTGATCTTTGTCTCCCATGCCAAAACTTGCAAGGGCCTTACTCTTACCCTTTTCGGTAAGATTTAACGCGACGCGCTAAACTAGATTAGGCTAGCGAATAAGAAGTGGATGAAGACCCGACCTGTCAGAATTAAAAGCAAAAAGAGACTGTCATCATGATTGGGTCGTGACGACGCACACTGGCATAGCGTTACGTAAAGTTCGACTCAGCGCTAGTGTCCTCCCCCAGATGCAGAGGCTATCTCATGCACTATGGATCTCGCTTGATATAACAAATAACTGCTTTATGCAGACGCATATCGCTGGCCCAATCTTAGCCCGGCAATGTCTAATGAGGCAATGATCGACGTCTTTTACAGTGACATTGAAGATTCTACTTCAGATGTTTTCATTAGGAAATGAACTGAGGAGGTATTGGTACTGATATGGATGTGGTTGTCGAAAGCCATAGTGAATGAGAAGCAATGTATTGAAGGATCTTGACCTCCGTAATAGCGTCCATTAGTTGTTGAGTATCAAAGATTTCTGAAACAACGCTACGGTGTGAAAGAGAGAAGAAAAGCATGCAGAGCGGCTTGGCCCTTCTGCTTGTCTCGCACTACTCTGTTTTCAAAATATAGAAAGGGCTAACGTGCCACGTTCCCGAAGGCTGTTGTGAACGGCACTGGTAAATCGCGAAGTGAAGGTGTAGTGGGCAAGAACCATGCCGTACTTGGCGAGACAGGCATTTGCCCGCAGTGTACTAATTTGACCGCGCCAAAGCCAGCGTTCATTGCCACTTATTTGAGTACTTTGTAAGGATAGTCAAGTGAGTTTCAATAATGTAAATATGATGTTGAATTGAAATGCCAGTATGCTACGAGTATTAGGTGAAGACACTAGAGGAAATAGGAGACGATGTATATATCAAGGACATCGAAAATTGGACAGTACGTAGTACAGCAAAGAAGAAAAAATTGGCTGCTACACATAACTGAAGGACTACGATGACCTTGAAGTCTAACCATATGTACCATTCTCTCATGCTTGCATGAACCGTTCAACATATCGTTCATTAGCATTGATAGAGGGGAAGAAAGGTCTTTTGCGAAAGTAGCTGCGATATCATTGTAACCATACATAGAAGACACGTCAGGGAAACAAGGAAGAATCACAACCTTATTGGGAAGTGGAAAATGGCCGGGCGGCTGCCTGCGTTCAGGCACTATATTCATCTGGGAACCGACATGGACCTGATACTGAGAAAAGTCAGGAATCGATTGGGCATGCCCGGGCCAGAAACAAACTGGTCGAACGTAGGGTATTTTCCGCATACGGGTGAGTCGCGTTGAAGCAGGCGGACAGGGGAACAACGTGTTCATACGCCGATTGTACCTTCGGGTACTGGCGCATGAACTCGTCCATGGTGTGCTTATTGACTTCATGCGTTAGCACGACGACACCATGCTTGCCGGTCTTGCCCTTGGACGGAAGTGTAATGATCTTGTTGTAGTTTGCGTCGATTTTCTGCGTAGACGAGGCGCCGTCAGGAGCAATATCCCAGTCATCGGTATTGCTGTCCCACAAGATGGTACGCAATCCCAATCCATTTGCAATCGCACGCACACGGTCATCCACGTTGCCAAACGGAGGGCGCCAACATGGTGGAGTAACATCCATGACATCCTTGATGATACACAAGGTATAGTAGAGCTCAGTAAACACGCTCTCATCCGACAAAGTCATCGTGTAGCGATGCGATCACGTATGCACACAAATGTCGTGTCCATCGGCTAGACCACGCTGTGCTTGAAGAGGATTGTTCATCACGTTGCTTCCAATGTAAAACACGGTCGCCTTCAGGTCCTGCTGCTGCACATAGTTGTAGAATTCATTATGCCCACACTCGGGGCCATCATCAAACGTCAGACCCCACGTATTAGGTTCCGGGTAGGACGAAATATCATTGCTCAGACCACTAGCCTTGGGAGTCGTGCAGCCAGTCTGAGTCCACCAACAGTCTGGGTCGTGGTTAGAGAGAGAGCGGATCTGCTCACTGAAACGAGTGGAGGACATGATCGGGAGCAAAGGAAAATGAAATGAGATGTCAATAAGATGGGACTTTAAGTGAGAGTGAGCCTACAATGCAGACCATAAAACTGACTTACACGGCGAGTGAAAAAGGAGGCATGATCTCGAATAGCAATAAGGGAGAAAAGAGATGAGGAGGGCGTTGGGAGGAAAGGAGCTACACAACTACTGTCAGTAACAGAATCAATTTGTCATGAAGCGCCATTACGGTAGAGCCACAAAGGCATATTTGTACACTATAGGATCAAAGTGAAAACAACAATGTCTTGCCATTTGGAAATATTGGATGATGTCGCATTACCTGTGTGATTCTGGTGAGGCGACGAGCTGAGAATAGGGGTCTCAGGCCCTGCCTTGACGAATTAGTACGAACTGAGCGCTTCACAGGCCGGCGGCTTGTTAGATACAAAAGTCTATCTATATTAATAGCGATGCCGATCCTCTCTCTCACCTGACATATAAACATATTGAGAGTGTCCAATAAATAACAACAAAAAATAAAACAAACTAAACCAGTTGACCAGGATGTAAGACCCTCTTGGCTTGAGCACCAGGCGCGCCTTTGAATGTAATGTCTGAGAGCGGAATGGGAGGAAGAGGGTAGAGACCAAAGTTATGGGTCGAATTCGCGACGCCGCCTGCATTGCCAGTATGAGGTATGCCTTGTTTCTTGCAATGGTCCACCATCTCGTCAGGGAGCTGTTGCTTCTCTTGCAAAATGGCAGATGATTCAAACATTTTTGCCATACCTTGAGAGAGATGCCATGCAATATAGCAATGCACACACCAGACCCCAGGATTGTACGCTACAAATCGCAAGGTAGCGCTGCCAAAAAGCGCAATAACAATAGTATCCCTACGCATCGGATTCAATTGCGAGAAATTGAAGAGCGAATTGATCTTCGGAACTGGGGAGAACACATAATCGCTCCTGTGCACAACTTGGAAATTGTGGCTGTGAAGATGGAAAGGGTGGTATCCGGACTTTTGATTCTGAATGGCACTTTGAACAGTTTCAAGAGGTTTAGTACTGTAGCTCCAGAAGTGGGTCCATACAACTCTTCTTTCTCCATAAGGTCATTGCCTTCGGAGAGAGCAGTGAAGAGTGTGGACACAAGGGGCTTCATATAGGTGACATTGTCGATGGATATAAGACGCAGGCCATTGTTGTAGCTGGAAAATAGCGCGAAGAAATTGTAGGCCACCTCAGGCACAATCATCTCCTGTTTTTCCACAGGAACAAGTTCAAGGTCGGGGAATGTTTTGTATTCAACGTGGATTTTCCATGGCCAAATGGGCGCTCTCGTTACCATAGGTAAGTACACTGGTATAGTTGAGCTTGGGGTACGGAGGTGGGACGTCAAACATCGCAGGGTCCACGTTGGCATGAATTCGCCATCGATGGTCGGTACCATTCCGCGCACGGACCAGTACAGAATAGCTCTAATCCACATGAATATTGATGGAGTCAACCGCATAGGGCTCGACGTCCAGACCATCAACTTCAATGATAGACATAGAATGGCCTTCGATCCAGAAATGGAACATGATCATGGCACCGGCATTTAATAGTCATAGTCGGTATGTCTTGCCAGGCTCAAATTTCTAACGGGCATTCATGTTGATGCCTGGCGACCCATCTTGACCGAGGACGGGCGGCACCAATGTCTCATCGCCAGGCTTCGTATGATAGAAGTAGATGAGGGCAGACTCTGCCATGAGCATCCGTGCTGTGGGGTTTCTGATGTTGTTGGATTGTGTCGTAAGAAGCTTATTAAAGCCTGTTTGGTACCAATCTTGCATGACAACCGTGTAATCGACGTCATAGTCGTACACTTCTGTTTACCCGTCCGATGGACAATCATCGGTGATGTTACCGTATCGACACGGTTTCCACGGTAATAGCTGTGAGCCCAGTATGCTCCCCACTGGTCTTTCTTACCAGCGCGCTCTTGTCCGTATTGAGAATTTAGTAGTGCAGCGTATGCTGATTCAGTAATCTACTACCGTGAGACATACCAGAGCATAAGGAGGAAAGTGATCATTCACATTCAGGGCCCTTCTAGCCTTTTCTCCTTCAGGAGATTGATTATACTTCTAGGCGATCGACCAGTCAAGAGAGACATCTCTTTCGGCCTCGCGTGACATACGCCTAGAGCAAGCAGTAACAACCAAAACAGCCACATGCTTAGTGAGAACAGTGGGGTTTCATCTACGATTTATACAGTGCACTACACGACGTTATCACTGAAGTTGCAATGTGCAAACAGCAATAACAATGATCCACTTCGATACGATATTTTCAATCGAGATAGTGCGAGTCCAAAGAGGTATTCACACCATCCTATGATTACGCCTTGAAACCCTAATGTCACTGAAGATAGTACTTTATTTTGATGCAAAAATAGCGCAGGACCGGCCAAGTATGTGAGGGGCCTCTCTAGGAGAGCCTTATTAGCGCAACGCGAGATATGCAGTTGCTACGTGAAAGAAGGCTTTTCGGATTTGAGCCAGTAAGATATGCAGATACCAGACTCCCTCTCCCTGGCGCTGCTCTTCCTAGGATAAATTCAAATACATGCATGGTTGTTCTGCGTCTTTTTGACTGGGTAGACTCTTGTTCGAGAAGTACTGAGAGAAGAGGGGAATTCATCAGTGCACGCTTCCGTGCAGTGATTGGACGAAAAAAAGATCTAAGTCCCCTTTTAGCAACCTTCTGATTCAACTGCTGGGCACGTTAATATTGTGAGATGGCAAGGGAGCCCTGCCGTCCATCCCTGCATAGGAAGCGATGCATTTTGCTCTGATAGAGTGATACGACACTTGTGCTCATTGACGTGTGTTTCATAGATACTGTCTGTTGAGATCTGTTTAAGTAGACATGGTATATCAGCAACTGTACTGAAGTGATGGCCATCACCGAGCGTCTGATAAGTAGCACTTCCACGGGAATATTGAACATTAGGAACAAGGACATATTGGTCACCATGAGCGACGCGGAGCAGCCCTTGCTACGTCATAAAAATAGAAGTAGACTCAAGAAGGCTGCGAAGGACGACATTGTAAGCTCCTTGTTGAAAATATAGGACATATATTCAGGTTGACACTAGGGGAATGTGCTTCGCAAGCTCTGTGTCGTCAGGGCTCTTATTCTGAGACGAATAAAATTTATTGTAACCGTCTAGGTTCATGGGACATTTGGATTGGGGGCGCATAATAGTTTATGCATGTAAGTAAAGTGGTATGAAAAATCCAGTCGGGACTAGTAGAGAGAGAGCGGGGCGTGAG